AATGGAATATACGTCTAACCTTCTGGAGCATATTGTTCTGCAAATATTTTACTACTTTGATTTTGCATTGTAATTGGAGACAAAAATAGTTTCAGTATGAACTTATCAACAGGAAGGAAACAGATTTTTTTTAACTGGAGCTTATACAAAATTTCCTATAGAAAAGGTTTTTTTCTAAATCTTCTTTTAAAAATGAGAAGCAATTGTGAGCTACCAGCACTGAGCTTGAAGAGATCTATCTTACATCATTAATGTAAAAGAGAGAGCTAGCATAAGCCAAAGGAGTCCAAAATACTCAATTTAGTTATCATTAATAATAATTTAATTGCAAATTATCAATGAGAAAACAGACCTGTCCCTCTGGCCTGTCAGTGAGCCACAGGGAGACAGAGCCAGAAGGGAGGGAGTGATGAATCAGGAATGCAGCAAAAGCCAGGCCTGAACAGGAACCTCACTCGAGGAACACCTGTTAGGGCAGCAGGGCTATTGCTCCCTGGGTTTTGCTGTCTGCAACAAACCATTCCACTCCTGCAGTCCAGCTGTTGTCTCTGAAGGAACATGTGCCACCATAAGTGCAGCTCTGCCAGCACACAGGCAACCCCAGCACCCACTGATACGCAGGTAACAGGTACCTTACCTGCAACCTCTCACTACAAAGCTCCATCTCGAGTATGGATCTGCCCAGTTGTCATGGAGGCAACTGGTATCCAGGCAGGGAGGAAAGGACAAGCACTGGACAAGGAAGGTTTTCTGTTTCAGTCAGGAGGGGGATAATGGGATACAGGGAAGCAGCCAGAAAAGACGACTTGATCCATTTCCAACAGAAATCCACACACGCAGACTGCTGGTGCAGAGGATTCCACCTCTCGAAAACTGAGATTTGGATTGTACAGATTACATACAAATAACAATAATCATTAATGATGATTGTCACTAATAATCATCAGTAGTCTTATACATTAGTACAACATAGAACCACCAAGAACATGTGACTGTGTGTTTAGGTCAGATAACACTCCCCTCCCAAAAAGGGAACCCTACTGCTGACAAAAACCTTTTAACATTCAAGCTACACCCACTCATTGACTTATCAATAAACCCTTTTCAAAGAGCCTATAAAGGGTTCCATTAGCACCTGAAGAGTTCTTGTTCCACGCCAGAAGAAAGCAGAGGAGGGATGGTATTATCTAGGATTATAAAAACCTCGAAGAAAAGTGAAAGACATCCAAAAATAAACATGAACAGCTCCAAGAAAAAAAAGGACAAGGACAAGAAGGTATAGGCATCCAGCTGTTTCAACTCTGTTCACTGGGGACAACCAGTAGCATCTCTATGGCTGCAACATCAAACTAGAGGAGTGCAGGCTGCTGATTGGGATAATACCTCTCACCCTTGATCGCCACTCTGTGCCAGTGCATGGGCAGAGCCACATTCATGACATTTGCTGTCATCCAAGATGCACGAACTGAATCGAATCTCCAGATTCCGAGCTCTCTCAGTAACAAAGCTCTTACCATCGAGTTGATGACAACTTTCCCAGCGGCCGGCGTGCCCAGCCGAGGCACAGCCAGCCTGAGAAGGTGTCTGCCTGTGCCACTGCAGCAGGGTCTGGAGCTCTGTAGCGCTGCAAAGTACACCTGACACATTTACCGTCAAACTTCGGAGATTTTAACGAGTTAAGTTTCGGGTTTGCTTACCGGGGCGCCCGGAGGGAGCACAATGCCCGCGCCGACAGCCGAGCTCTGAGCCCGCGCGGGTCCCGCTCCGGCGTTTGGGGGCAGGCCCGGCCCCTCCGCTCCGCGGCAGGACCCGCCGGGACCCCCGCCCGCCGCGCTCCGCCGGGCCCGGGGCTAAAGAAAGCGGGGCCGCGAACGGCCCCGCAGGGAGCCCGTAGCGAAGGCAGCCGAGTGTTTGGCCTGGCGGCCCCGGAGCCCCGCCGGGGAGCTGCCCCGCCGCCGCCCGGCCCCTCACGGCGCCTCGGGCCGCCGGGCCTGCGCCCCCTCCGTGTTCCCGCTCCGTGCCGGGACAGCCCCCCGCCCCGCAACTTCCCTCCGCCGCCCGCGTCCGGCCCGGCCCGGCGGCTCCTTCCCGCCTTCCCGGCCGTTCCAGCGCCGCCCGTCCGGCGTCAACTCACCCGGGCAGGCTCCGCGTCCCGCTCCCGCCGAGCCCGGCCCCCCGCCACGGCCCCCGGCGGGGACGGCGGCGCCTGTTGCTCCATGGCGCTCCTCCTCCTCCTCCTCCTCCTCCTCCTCCTCCGGGGGCCGATCCCGCTCCGGCCCCCGGCGCCACGTTCCGGGCCCGGCTCAGAGGGACCGGCACTGCCCCGGCCCCGCCCCGGGGCTGGGCTCGGCTCCGGCCGGACCCCAGGCACCCCCGCCCGACGGCGCCGGACGTCCTGCGGCTGCAGCCCCGGATCGCCCCCGGGCTCGGGGCAGCTGCTCAGCCGCGCCTCTGTCAGGCTCTGTCGGGGCCGGGGGCGAGCCCGGCCGCAGGGGCCGCACGGCAGAGCAGCGGTCGGGTCCCCGCGGATGGGCCCCGTCCCCCGGAGGATACGGCTCTGCCTGCCCAAAGGCAGCGGCGGCCTGAGCTCGAGGGTAAGCGGAGCTCCCTATCCCACCGCAGGCCGTGACACTGGTCACTCCCGACACCACTCTGCCCGCGTACAGCGGGGCTCAGCACCTTCGCTAGCCCAAACCTTCCAAATGCTGTGACCCCTTCTGCCCCTTGAAATGACCAGGCGGATGGATTATGCTGTAGACTCTTGTGCTGTGAGTAATACGTAATAAAGAAATAATCATTTCTTCTCTAAGTGAAAATCAGATGCCACTTTACTGTAGTGAAATTTAGTAATACTTCCCAAACTTACTCTTTCACAGAAAAAAGATATAAGAACCTGAAACTTCAGAAAGCTTTCTGCAATAAAATGATGAACACATGGCCAGCAGCCCAAAGGTTTGTCATCAAATTAGGGAGATTAAAATTAAGACATCATTAGAAAAGCAGGTCTTAGTCATGACCCAAGGAAAGGATCCAAGCAAAGCAGTTACAGATTATCTAACAACTGCAGGATGTAAAAAAAAGATAGAGGAATAAATTACAAGTGTCTTCTATTTCAATCTAAATAAGCCAGTCTTTCATGGGTGTCCACAAGAAAGGGCACATCCTCAAGGACAGATATGCCTTTATCTGTTCTAGCACCCCAGTATCTGCATTCCAGTCTGGATCAGAACCAGTAGTGCTGTTTCCATGCAGATGCCCATGGATGTTCTCCATCTGATTCATTGAGAAAGATATCAATGTATAAGAACTGGCATTTTATCATTAGCAATGGTTGATATCAAATATATCGAAACACACAAGACCTTTGCAATAGGCACATATGGGAAAACCTGACTCATGGATGTCATATTCCTACCTGACATGGGTTTATTCCATAACCCATTATGGCTTTTTTTTCCAAATGAACTTGCAGTAGATGCCTTTAACTAGAAGATGCAGATTTGAGAACAGAGTTACTAAACTGTTGTCTCAGTGAATAATAAAATTAATATCCTTTAGTAAAAGGTACACAGTTGAAAATTTTCACTTATCAGGCAAGCAAATTAAAAACTGTTTCTCTCTCATGTCAATTACTGGCTCTTCCCTGGCAGGAACTTCCTTTCATCATTTGTTATCATGTTTCCTCTTACTCGTCCCTCTTCTGGGAAACAAAGGTAGAATACGCATCTTAGAAACACCATGCAGATGGTAACTCTTGCTTTGGCAGCCCCTTCCCAGAGCAGGATGCTGTGAGTCTGCCCAGCCCAGCATTTACTGTAGAGCTTTACCTGAAGCCCAGAGCAACTCAAGCTCCCTCGGTAGTTTTACATCCCAACTGAATAGCCTAAGTGTCCTCAGAAGTCTGTGGGCAGCATTGTGTCAGGCATGTCTCAGGCAGAAGCTCAACAAACCTAGTATTCCTTTCTCATCTATGAGGACTAAGCATTATTTCCATGCCTAACCTAAAAACTGGAAGAGAAGAAACAAAGAATGTAGGTGAGGATGAAGCTAGCCTGAAAATGGTTAGTAACTCAGTTCAGGAGTTTTTCTGGTATTTTCCTTGAGTCAGACAGCTGGATGGACCAGAACGTGACTATTTGTGCAGAGTATCATGCATGCACAGCAGTCACTTCAGTCTTACAAAGTTATTTTTATTTGGAAATTGTATCTTCAACAGTTATTCCATTATTAAATTTTTATAAAAAAAAAAAATCTGCTTTCCATACAAAAAGCTGTCATTAACAAAAGTCACTTTCACTTCTTTTTCACCTCATTTTCTGAAACGATGTAGAAGGAGCAGTTCGCTTAGAAGGGCCAGATTCTTCCTCATTTTCATGGTGACGCTTTCTCGTTGTGGTTGGCTAAAAGAAAGATGCAGCAGGATGGCTACAGAAACCAGGCAAGACAGAGCCTGACTGTTCTGCTTGCTCCAGAATTACAAGTGATGGCCAGTGTCTCCTTTCTCTGACCAAAAAAGCAGCATGACTAACCCATTTCTCTACCAAAATACATCTAATTATATTTGAGCCTTCTCATATAAGACATTGCTCCCAGCTTGAAACAGCTACTGTTTACAATTCACTTAATTAGCATCTGGTAATGAATGGCACAATGCCATCGTAAATTTGCACTAACATGAGAATTTTTCCTTGAACACTAAACATTAGTGACTTGAACCATTAAAAAAATATATACGTTCAACAATTTTATTCTAAATATATGGATCATTCTTTGAAGCCTAGGAGACTGTTTCCATACATTTAAACAAGTGTGGACAAAGCACGGAAGTCCATTGCTGCTCCTCAGGAAGCAGAGATAACCAGCAGGCTGCCACATACAGCCCAAGGGCACACTTCTTTAAAGTCTCAAAATTAACTGATTTTCTTATTACAGCTTACTTCAAAGTCTAATTTCTCTGTGCCTCAGATATTAATCTTCAAATATCTATTACACATACCATTTTTGATGTTTGTGGTGGATTCATACTGGCACGTGTCTGAGCAAGTAGCTGTTGAAATGTACTCTTCATATCCTCATCCTGGGGAAAAAAAAACAGTAGCCAAGTAGTAGACAGAATATTTAAGAGAAAAACAAAGAATGGGAAACTCCAAGAGAAGTGAATGGGACATTCACTGCTAGAGACAATTAGAAATAACAATCACTGCGCTCCTAAGGATTTCAGCTGTTGTTACTAAGTTTCTTGGGGGAAGGCAGGGGAGGGGTTCCTTTTTCTAAGCAATGGAGTGTTGCAGTATATCCTTTTTTGTTTAACTATGTTCTTAAGTCCTAACACAAAGGCTGTGATGTGAACATTCATTTTATTTGATATAGAATTTTGACTTGTTTTTCTTTTCCAGCATCACCTGATTTGACCGTGGCTACCTTTGAGTTAATGGATAAGATAAATATTTTTCCATTTATTTAACAAACACCTGAGTGTTTTCTTCAGCATGCAACCAAACTAAGTCCCATTCATAAGACCTCAGTGAAGTTTTAAGAGGCAGAAACAGCAATTATTTATATGCTTTTGAGAAATGTTTTATTAAGCACCTGTTTTATTAAATGTAGGTAGGACATTTCCACTGAGTAGTACTTAGGTTTAAGCAGCTAACTAAATTTTAAAGCTGTAGATTTTAGCAAAGAATGGAGTAAACAGCACATGTATTGAAAACACTTATTTGAAAGCACTACTGGTTTAAATAAATCTGTAAAAATTAAATACTGTTTGGAGAAGATGCTTACTTTTAATATCTGAAAAATTCCCTAGCATACCCAAAATCATCAGAGGGCTAACAGGCATTACCTGGTCGCATAGGGTTTTTCCGTGCTGACTTGTAAAGACAATACTGTTCACCAGAGGTGTAATGTGTTCCTGACCCTGCTGCTGGGGAGAATGCCACAGGAGGGATACAGTGATGGGCAAGGAGAGCTTCAGTTCTTTGGCTTCATGGCAATAACAAGTGTGATCTTAAGTCAGAGCTTAAGCCTGCTTCCTTGCAAAAGCAAATTACACTGCATCAACAAAACTTCACAACGTTCAGGCTACTGAACTGCCTTTGAGTTCACATCAACAGAGTATCCCCCCAACAACTCAGCTTTGCTGTATTTCAGTTAAAACTCAATTCCAACCTGAAGCCAAGGATGCTTTAAGGCTTCCTCTGTGGTAAGACGTCTGCATGGATCCACTACCAACAGCTTCTTCACAAGATCCAGAGCTAAAACAATAAAGAGAGCTGGTTGACATATGATCGATACATTCATTACCTGAAATAAGCCTACACCAAAGCTACATGCAACAATGTGTCTGATACCCCTTCAGAACAATGCCCAAAAATACAGGCTGGGCAGATCACTTTTCTTTTTTCTATGCATAGGGAGGGCTGCAGACTGCAACCATCTTTCCTTCACATGCACACGATACAACACTTCTCAACATACCAAAGTTACCACTAGATATACTGAGCATGTCCACAATTTATGTTCTGAGCATGCATAGGAGACTGAGCACTTTCTGTATCGGGGAACGTTGATATTTTTTGGCCTGTGTTTGGGCCAGCCACCTGTGAAAAGTTTTGTTCTTTGCCTGCCAAGTTCACTGATAAATGGGAGCTTTGTCCTTGCAGAGAAAGTTTCTTGTATAAACTGTTTTAACTGGTGTTCTGTTCAGGACATTTGAAGGAGAAACTGAAGAGGAGAAGATGAAGTAAAGCCCCTAGACCCAAATAGATAAGACCCCTTGAGTTAAACAGCGTATGTGAGAGAGGAATCCCAAAGTATTCAGGCATGCCCTGAACGGGTACACTTATGTAACCAAGGGGGCAGACTGAGAACCTCTGTCTGGGCAGTACTGGCCACACCTGCCTGGACAGATGCAATCAGTTAATGGTATAAGAGCAGTCAGCTGGGTTTTTGGGGGTGATTTTTGCTTCACACGAAGGACCACTTGTTTGTAGTGGGGACACCTGCACGTGTGAGCCATCACCCCTCCAAAAAACGCAGCTGCTGTAGAGGATTCTCTGATATTGGGAGTGGGTAAGGTAACTTCCTTTCTGACACCTGCGTGAGTAGGGTGTCGTCTTCTCTTATTGTTCTCTTTCTCTTGGGTTCTCGTTTATTTGGCCACTTTTGTAATAAATATGGGGTTTATTCTTGAGTTTTTCAACGGTATCTTGGTTTTCTATCTCAGCATCCTTTCAAACTCACCCTGATACACTTTCCTAAAAGCTTCAGTATTACTGTGGAAAAGCAAAGACAGCTTTATTTAATTTCCTGGTTTACTGTGTCTTGGAAAGCAGATTGTCCATCTGGGAAGGTGGGAGAGAAGAGACAGACACATGTATGCTCAACATAAACTTCATTTTCTTAGGAACCTGCTTATTAGGCACACTGAAAATACAGCATTTATGTCATATTTTATTATTCCAAATTTCCTCTAAGGGAATTTTGGCAAGATTTACTTTGCATTCTGATTATTCTAAATACATACCAGTAGGACTATGTACAACCTTATCATAATTTCTGTTCTCATACATGTCTGACTTATTATTGAATATGCTTCAAATTATTCAGGAAGGAGTTATATTTGGTAAGTTTATTAGGCAAAGAATGACAGCATCACTTATTAGAAACTTCTCTGCACATATAAAGGAGTATCCAAGGCAAATACTACAATTATTTTGTTCACATAAAGTGTCCTGAAAAAAGTAAAAGCGTGAAAGCAGTAGCTATCATCGCAGTTTACTATGCAGAAACTCCATTTTGCAGACTTCTTAGCTTATAGTGGGCCAAACATAATAGCTGATTCCACAAATGTGACTGACAGTTTCAGCTACAAGTCTAGCACCATGAAATTACTCTCTTGGAACATTTGTTTTTTGGAGTTCTAACTCATATTCCTTAAATTCCTGATATTTTTGGCTCAACACTTTAAGAATCTTTAGGCAAGGCAAAGTCTGTAGACCAGCTTGATAAAGTCAGAAGAAGAAGTGGAAAGAGGAAAAATAGATATATGTGCCCACAAATGCTATACTTCTGTGGTTAATGACACTAAATATTACTAAGAAATCTCTTCAACGAAAATGTATCTCCTCTTTCTAATGCTTTAACCATGAACTTTAAAAAAAATTAAGATACTACTTTAAAAACTAAACATATTAACCCACAATGTGCCATATAGCTGGAAAGGAAGATAAGGGAAAGCAAGAACTACAAGAGAAGAGGTTGATGTTCTGCTACCCACTGTGCTGGAGTCATACCCGTGTCTGACACGTGCTTCCATTCTCTTGCAATGAACGTGTACTTTCCACGAGTGATTTGTTCTTCCAGAGAGAGCTGAGTATTTTGCTCACTGAATGGTGGATAACCACACAAGCTATATAAAAGAAAACAACGTTAAGTAACACAGATTTCGTCATAGCACATGAAACACCGAAATCACACATTTTAAAGGCTATCACAGTGTTTTCACACGTGTGAAGTTTTAAATACACTTTCACTTCCTAATATAGGTACTGAAGTTGCCACGTCTCAAGCCATATATGTCAAAGACTGCCCAGTGAAGGTACATCTACACAGTATCTTACCATACAAAAAGAATAACTCCTAAACTCCAGCAGTCCACAGCTCGGCTGTATCCAGCAGTCCCAAGTGAATTTAGAACCTCAGGAGCAAGATACATGGGAGTACCACATAATGTTTTCATAAGAGAAGCTTCTCCAAGAATCTTGGATTGTCCAAAATCTGTAATCTTGTATTTAAAAATGGTAACACCACATTACAAATTAGGATGGACTGGGCTAGAACACATCACATTGTCGACATAGATCAGGAAGTAACATCAAGTTTCTTTCTTCCAAGCCAGTTCCAGTACATGACTATGAACAAAAGTTACCCAAACTTCTTTGAGTTTTAAGTGAGAATGGGAGAGGAGGAAGAGAGAGAAATATGACAGAAGATCCCACTTTACACCAGCAAAAAGTACTCTCAAACTTAGATGTAAAAGGACAACCACAGAATCTCTTAATAGAAGAGATTACTTTAAAAATAACCACTTTACCATGCAAATCTATTCAATGCTTTCTCTGGGAAAAAAAGAAAAACAACCCCCACCCCCATAAAAGAATAAAACACAAAAAAAAAGTCTTGTCACATACACCTTGTGGGAATGCTGCGTGTAATCCAAGAATTACACTTTATTGGAAGGCAAAAAAAAAAAAAAAAGAGAATGGGAAGGAATACTCCAAAATTTCTCCATTAACATGAAATGTAAGTTTTCTTACCTTTATGAGACACGTCTCTTCAGAAGATGAAAGTAGCACATTTTCTGGCTTTAGGTCTCGGTGTATAATTCCATTGTCATGAAGATACTAGACATATAAATATAGACAATTAAGGAAAAACAGACTATTAACCTGTTTTAAAATGTAAGTTTTCCAATTTTTCCCACGGCAATGGCAGGATAACGGAAACAGCTGTGTAAGAGGCATTTAAAGCTCCCCAGCTTACAACTCTCCCTTTAAAAAAAACAAAACAAAAAAAAAACACAAAGAAACAAAAAAACCCTTAGAGATCACGATGCTTCAAATGACAAATCTCACTGCCAGCTCAGTGTGCAGACCTGGCCATGTATTACATACTTCCCATTCTCTGGGAAGTTACACTTCTTCATCTCAGGCATCTGTGTTGCTTTTGTAGGAATTCTGGTTTTCCATTTCTCTTGTTAAACCAAATTGTTAAGAATGCTGTGCTGATTGCTTGAATGGGTTTCAGAAATGACAAGTGACAGAAAAATTCATCTTACTGATATTCATATGCATAACCATATTTCTTCTTGATAGAATTCACGATTATGTACCTTTACTGCCAGCAGCATCTGATAAAAATACAACTTGCAGGTAGCTTCTTTCATCTTGACTGGCCTTGACACTCTGTCATACAATTCTCCTCCTTCCATCCTAAAACAAAGGCAGGTAAGAAGTCAAGACATGACTTCCAAAAGATTCGTCTCATTAGACAGGACTAAGACCAAAACATTTGTCTACAGAGAAAGAATATGTTTCTGAAATGAGTGAGCAACATCCTAAACACAGTACATGCACTGCTGAGTTCGAGTCACTCTCAAATCCTCACTAGCAGTTGTTACATGATTTTTGATCAGCCACCTCTTACAAGCTCCAAAATCAAAAAAGTAGCAGCCATTCACAACAGCAGCACAGCAAACAACGTCTAGGCAGCAAGTGCCTACAAAGTGTGACTTTCTCCTGGTTATCCTAGCTCTTAATCTTACAGAAGTTTCACAGAACACTGAAGGTCAGCAAAAGAAGAAAAAAATAAAACAAACAACCCTCCCACAGTTCAGAACTACACACATTCTTTGTAGCTATGAAAAACATTTCATTTTATGCATGTACTTTCAAACAATTTACTTACAGTTCCAAAACAATGTAGTAATCCTCTGCTTCAAAAAAGTTTTTGATCTTGATTAAGCAAGGCTAACAGAAAAGGGAACACAAACAGAGACACACAAAAAAAGTAGAATTATTTGTAAAAATTACTACTAAAGCTCCTACTGCAGTATTTCAACCATGTCACTTAAACCAACACTTGAAACAAGTGGCTAGCGACACCCCAGACTTTAGTAAACACAATCCTTGTTTTTCCGGTTCTGAGTTATGATCCCCTCAATATTTTGTCTATTTTACATGCAGAGAAAAGAGGGGATACAAATTCAAGAAACTGCCAGTCAAAACTAATCTTTATATTTGGTTATCTCATGGCATTTATAAAAACTCGCATCAAGGAAAGATTTCTACAACAGTGGTTCAGGTTGAAACGTCTCCTGTTAAGTTTCTTCTCAAATTTACATCTCATTTATACAAACTTTTAAAATCTGAAATCTGCAAAGTCACAATATAATTAAAAGAAGAAAAAAGACCCATTCAGTAATTTACATGAAAAGCATATGCCTCCTTTAACACATTTCTGAACAGATAAAATTCATCTTCAGTTTCTACACTAAGGTCAGTGAACTACACAAGTACATACAGTAAGAAGCAAAAGGGAATAACAATGTACAGAAACACTCACGTGATCTATTTTCTTCAAAATTTCAATTTCTGTATCGATATTAAAAGCTGGGTTCTGTTAAAATAATCAAGTGTATTGGGTAAGACAGTGCTGTTCTGAAATAAGACACATCAGAAACAAAAGACAACACCAGAAAAGCCATCATGCCCCTTGCTACTCTTAAGTGATCATAATATACAAACTTTTGCCATAAACCGATCAGATGCCTTCAGTGAATTAAATAAACCATCAAGAGCAAGATATTGCTCCACACATGTAATTTCACTGTGGGTTAGAAATCCCCAACTAATTTCCAAACCGCAAAACCCAAAAAAATACTGTCACGTATATACCTGTATTGCCCTTTAAACCAACCCCCACAAGACTCCACACCACCCTCTGTACACATCCCATTAACAGTCCCACATTATGAACACAATGGAATGCGGCCAAAGAATGAAAGTAAGCATTTCCTACAGAATTCTGGAGACGCTATGAGACCAAAAGGCATTTGCATTTCTTGTATTAAGTAAGAAAATCCTCCTTAGTTGAAGACAGCTGGGCAGTCAGAGAAGTTAGCAAATATTCCAGGCCACTGTAAGATGGCCAAGACAGACAGACAGACAGACAAACAAAACACTCACTGCCTCTCTCAGGCCGCTTGCCGCAAACTTCCGTTTATTGATGATCTTCACTGCCACTTTGTTACAAGTGCTCTTCTCAAACGCCAGTTTGACTTCTCCACAGGCGCCACTAACATGAGAGCACAGCTATGTCAATGCTTACAAACACTGGTCAAAAATCTGTGTAACAAGCACAGACAAATGAAAGCGTTGTATTCCACACAATTTGGAGCTGCTGCTTTCTGGCTTTCTAAAACATGCCCCTTTCAGGAAGCATTCAGCAGTTAGGAAGCCTGTTTAAACAGCAAGTGTTGTCAAGGGCCGCTCATTCAGAACTGCAGGAGTAAATACACAAAGCAACAGGTCTGTTGGCACCAAGGGTAGGGGCAAATATGACAGACAAGCTGTCAGCATTTCCTTCACCCAAAGGCATTTAGGGGAAGAGTACCTAGGAAGGGTTCTCTCGACACCAGGCTGCACAAATCTGAAGAACAGATACGACAATACTTGTGTTTTTACTAAACTGCAATTACATTGCAGAAAGAAATTCTTGTATTTCCCGCTCAGATTTGTTTCTACTCAACCATTCACCCCCAAATTCTTCACTGACCAACTGTTTCCACAAGAGAAAAAAATAGGCTCCTCTTAAAATAACCTCTCTCTCCTTTTTCCTGGACAGTTCTTTCCATTTCTGTCTGAAGGCCTTAACAGTGATGTTGTAGAAATCTGTATTCCAAGGTAAAGCTCCTTCTACTTCCAGTAACTGGGCAAATTAATATACAAACTTTAAAAACTTGCTAAGAATTCACAAACTTTGTTATCTTCTACAAAACAAAACGAAAACTGGTTTTCACCACTGATGGCAGGTTGCAAACCCCAAGCCAATTACTGGGATAAAGCCAAAATTCCTGTTTTCATTTTTCTTCTACTGAGGAAAGAAGGATGCTTACCTTCCCAAAGTCTTTGAGATGATATATTTCTCTCTCAATTCTCTAGGAAATGTCATCTGATCATCCACCGTAAGATCAGAAAATACAAACACTGGGAAGACAAGTGGAGATCATTTTTCTGTTATTAACTTTAAAATTTTGTTGTAAGAAACAAAGCTGTTTTCCCGAGCTTTTATAGTCAACAACATGACTGAAAAAATGCCTGCTAGAGGAAAACCCAAATATATGCAACCAGCTCTGCTAATTTTTGAGAGGATTTCCTATTTATTATGCAGCATCCTGTTAGGTATCTGGGGGGATTTTCAACTTTTCTTTAATAGTCTGTCTCCCCTGTTTCTACCACCACATACACAGCTACTGAAGCCCAAAAGCATTTTAAAAATACAAAAGCAACTACAGAAGTTTATACTCTAGTAAGGTGCTATCTGATGCAGATTCCTCTCAGCTTTCTTTTTTAGTTTTTTTTCCTAGGTTTGATGTGGATATGGATAATTTTTATGCAAGTACTAAAACACCTATCCATAGCTGTGTTTTAACAGCCCTCATGAAGCAGCTCCCAAGAAACAAACTCAAATCAGTGCAGAAACAACCTCCTGGTCAACATGTAAAGAACTTACTCAAGTAAAAGTACATTTTACCCTTATTGGTCTGTAGAGACAGTGCAATTTCAGAGTTGTGAATCAGTGGAAGCCTCTTCCCTTTTCCAACAAGCTCTTTATTCACAAATGTTCCATTTGCACTATAGTCTTCAATGTAGGCAACATAGGAATTTTTGGGACCCATTTCCTCAAAGAGAAAAAAAACCAGCAAAGATGAAAGTAAAGAAGTAATGACTTCACAGTGAAGACATGACAGACTAGAAATTTACTATTGTTGGCTCAAGAGATGAGACTACTTAGGTTATTTCATAAACCAGGTGAGTGGGGCATTGCCAAGAGTTGTGTTAAAGGAGTCAACACTGAAGATACTTTAATATCTTTAGGACTTCTGCCCCAAAGACACTTTTTGAATTATGCCAAGACAGAGAAACAGTGAACCTTTCCAGCACTTACCCTGAAAATTCGGAAGTGCTTCTTGCTATAGTTTTCATAGAAGCCAGTCTCATACAATCCTAGCTTAGAAAAACTGTAATCACAGCTTTTGTCTCTCCCAAACCAGTATTCATCATTCACACAGTCTGCAGAGGAGGGGAAGGCACAGCAGAGACAGAACACAACATTGCAGGAAGTTAATAACTATGGCACTACAGAATGATGCCAAATGTTAGAGCAGGATACCAGAGACAAGATTCTTCCCCTACCATCAAGTTTATTTGTCTTAATTCAGACAAAGCACCATGCAATATTGACACCTTGTAAAATTCCTTAATAATTTTATCCTCTTTATGCTCTTAATAATTTTGCCCTCCTTAGTAGTAATAGCTTTCAGTTCACCCTCAGCAATATAGACACATATGATAACAAAATAAGTTATAAAATGGAAAAATGAAGCATGTAACAAAGAACATGAACATCCCGTAATTTCTCTAAGTCTATGGAATCTGTGTATCCAAATACCCAATATAAACACTGGGATGTATAGAATAAAACGTTATTGCAAAAGTTGCATACCTAAATTTGTTTGTACTTAATTTAAAAATTAGAAGACATTGCTGTCTATTAAGCGGCTCAGAACTTCCCTGAGGTCCTACAAACAAACCAAGAGGTTTGTTACAGTATGCACATACCACAGTTGCTGAAGCCTTTTGCAAGTGCAAAGAGTCGACCCCACGGCTGAGGAACCAGCTCTTCAGGTTCCTGGTCCTCAGGGATCGATGCAAGCTCCTGAGTGGGAACAGTGTCCAAAGAACTGAGGGTCCCAGAACTTGAGGAAGACTGACTAGTACTCTGTGACCCACTGGAAGAGGAACTCTGTGATGACTGGGTAACTTGAGTCTGCTGTACTTCACTTTCAGTCTCTCGGGACATGTTGGCTTCAAAGAGGATGTTAAAAAAAAAAAAAAAAACCAAACAATTACTACAGCAAAGTAAAACTAGCAAGCTGTACTATTAATGTTCAAGTCCATTCTCAGGCTTCAAAGTAAAACTTCCAACCAAAGAGTGCATGTGCAGGTTATACGTAAATCCCCAGGAATTTTGCAAACCAGGATGGCTTTCTTTTCAGAAGGGAATGTGGGGCGGCCTCTGCTGGTTCTAAAACAGAATTAACTCTTATTCCCAGATTGTTCCCGAGGACTTCAGGCCTCGCACTGGATCACACAGGCACGGGCTGCGCTATGAGAGAGCATCCCCGCATGGAGGAGGGATCGCGGCCGGTCCCCATAAACTAAGGGAAAAACTAGAAAGGCAAAAATAAGAACTATAAAACGACGTACATTTTCTTGAAGGCGCCCAACAGACTTGTCACACCTGTACACAATGAAAGTACAAAAGCCTGCCAGACACCCACCACAGCCCCCTGGCAGCTGCCGGCAATCACCTCCCTGCCCAGTTACAGCTCGGGAACTCACAGCGTGTCTTTCCTCCCTCCCCACTTAACAAACAGCCAGCCCATCCCTACAGCCGGCGTCCTCAAACACATCCGCGTTCACCGGGGCTGTTGGAGCCTTCCAGCCTCTGGGATCGCTGGCACTCACCCCTCTGCTTCCTTTCTTGGCTCACCATCCATATTATTGGGATTTTAGCTGTTTGTCATACCGTTCGATGTATAACGCAGACTAATTTAAATCTCTTCAGCGGTTTCCTACCTTTCATTATGAACCAAAAAACCCACAACAGCTCCCAAGTTACTTCCCACGTCCTTTTCTACAGGCGAGGCCCAGGGGCTCCCGCGGCCCTTCGTAGAGGTGCTGGCACAGCCGCCCGCAGAGGGAGCGGAACCATGGAATCGTTTGGATAGGAAAAGAGAGAGGCCATCGAGTCCAGCCGCTCGCCCAGCACTGCCAAGGCCACCACTGACCCCGTCCCCAGGTGCCACATCCCCGCGGCTGTTAAAGCCCCTCTAGGGATGGTGACTTCACCCCTGCCCTGGGCAGCCTGTGCCAAGGCTGGGCAGCCCTCCCCAGTAAAGGAATTTTCCCTCATATCCAACCTTCTGAGCAGCTCCCGGACGCTCAGACGGCAGAGCCGGGCCGGCGCGGACGGGACCCCGGGGCGGCACTGACAGGCTCCGGTTCACTCAGCGCCCGTCCCGGCCCGTCCTGCTCTGCCCTGCCCTGCCCTGCCCGCCCGAGCACCCCGGCCCCAGGACCCAGCGGCGCCGCGCGGCCTTCCCGAGCGAAGCGGCGAGGAGCGGGGAGAGGAGAGGAGGGCAGGGGAGGGCGAAGGACGGAGCGGAGCGCGGGCCGGAGCGGGACCCGAACTCACGGCTCACGGGGCTCACGAGGCTCACGCCGCGCGCGCCCCGGGCCGAGCCAATAAGGGGCCGGGCGCGCGGGGGCCGCCGGGAGCGGGGCGCGATGCGGGCGGCGCTGCGGGCCCGGCTCGGGTGGGCGCGGCGGGCGCTGCTCGGGGCCGGGCTGGGCCGCGCCCCGGGGCCCCTGTGCTGGAGCTGCGGCACCGCGCTCCCCGCCACCGACGGGCCGCCGCGCTTCTGCCCCGCCTGCCGGGCCCTGCAGCCGCCGGCGCCGCGGCCCGACCTCTTCCGCCTGATGGACTGGTGAGTGCGGGCGGGGCGGCCGCGGGCCCGGCCGGCCGCGGGGCTCACCCGCCTTGTGTCCCGCAGTGACCGCTCCTTCCGCATCGACGCGCGGCAGCTGCAGCGGCGGTTCCGGAGCCTGCAGCGCGCCGTACACCCCGACCGCTTCGGCCAGAGGCCGCCGGTGAGCGCCGGGCCGGGCGGGGGGGCCAGGCCGGGCGGGGCCCGCGGGGCTCGGGGACCGGCGAGGGAACCCGCCCTACACCTGCGGTCCCAGCGCCGAGCCCCCGCCTCTCTCCTGCTCGGGGAGTGCGGGGACTCGCCTCTGTTTGTCTCCCGGTGCTTACAAGAGGCTGTCATGGATTTGCGGCGGAGGAGGACGATGAGGGGCCGCTGCGGCTCGTCAGGTCTTAGCTGAGTGCAGTGACGCTGCTCCCGGGTCCACAGAGCCCTCTCAGTCTCACTCACGGACTGGTCTAGGGATGCTGGTTTTCCGTATGCAGCGAAGTGTGTCCTGCCACTTGTTATTAACTTAAGTTTGTCGTCCCCTTGCAGAAAGAGCAGTACTACTCTGAGCAACACTCTTCCCTGATCAACAAGGCCTACCAGACCCTGCTGAACCCTCTGAGCCGGGGCCTCTATCTAGTAAGGTCTCCGTTAGGTGTTATCAGTGTCCCTGTAACTAACCATAGGGGCTGGGGGTGCTGTGAGGGGCCAGACCTTCCACTTCATCATTAACGTGCTAATTCACATTCCTCTGAAGAAGAAGATGACCAGGGACTGAAGGGAGATCAAAACCAAGTTTGTCTAAAATTAATCAGCTTATCATAACATTTTTCTGCTCACATTACACTGATTTGTTTCCTACATCACATGTTTTGCTACAGTTGCTCATATGGAATTTCAGTCTGGCCCTTGGCAGCCTTTGTTACATTTTTTGACTTACAGTAATTGCTGATTTTTGTGATCAGCCTGTGTATGAAGTTAATTTTCAGACCGAGTCTGTTTATGCACTTTTCATGGAATACACTGTAGGTTTATTGGATATGAATCTAAGTGCGCCCCTCTAAAAAACTTAATAATTTCCATTGAATTAGATGTAATAGTGCTTATTTTCAAATTCCCATTTCCTCTGCCAGCTGGAGCTGAGTGGAGTGGAGCCAGCACAAGAAACAGACTGTGATGCAGACTCAGCATTCCTCATGGAAATCATGGAAATTAATGAGAAATTAGCAGAGTCAAAAAATGAGAATATCATTGAAGAAATTGAAACTTTAATTAAAGGTAGGTTATTATTTGAGGCATTTGTACAGAACTAATTTATGTCTTCTGTAATACAAGAGTCTTTTTGAAAGCTTTTATCTGTTTTGGTGTGTTTCTTGTAATGTCTCCAACTTGTGTTAGTCTGGAATTGATTCCAGTGCAAGAGCTTCTGCCCTGGTCCCCTTCCCCAGTATGGTCTTTACCTATTTATGCATCTAATCATCACATCTGGCTTGAGAACATCTGTGAACATCTTGATAACAAACATTTTGATGGCAAAATAAGTATATATAGACTAGAAAAAGGAATTTACTCAATCTTTAGCAGATCAGGGCAAGTCAACTGTTCCAAAGAAAAAAAGAACCTCTCAAAATGAAGTTGAATAAAATGCTTGTCTGACGATATTAAATAATGTCATTTACACAGACATTGTATGTCTTTCACCTTCTTCAACTTACCAACTGTTATATTAAGTGGTTATTGTCCTTACACAAGCAACTTTCTTTTTATATTATTGGCAATATTTGGTTTACTGATACATTTAATTCTTTACAATAACAAAGCATAGTATGCCAAAAGCAATTAGAATAGTTAGAATAAACACTGAGTAGAGCAGGAGAAAATTCACCTTAGCAGGGTAAACTGATAGACCAAAAATAAGTTAGACTGCTGGGAAGTTAGTGACCATTGATGTGCATTGGAATTGCTGTCTGTAAACCTGTTTAATTTGAAATTATAATTAAAACTGACAGCAGTATTATGAAAAACTCTCTTAGCTCCCAAAGACTGAGACTAGTAATGAAGTTTCCCACTGCAGGCAGTTGGAATGCAGTGGTATAAAATATACTAAGTATGTAACAAAAAGTGAATTAAATAATTTGTTTTGCAGTTAAACAAGAAGAACTGACCAGAGAGCTGACTGCAGCTTTCGAAAGAGGTACTTGTTTTTATGAAGTATTTAGCTGCCATCAAATGCTTAAAGCCCCACATTCTCTCACTGGCAAATATTTCCTGAACTATAGAACAGAAATACTACATCAACAAGGGTTCTTTGTGTGGTATTTAGAATAAGAGCTTCTAAACTGATCTTTCTGCTGATTCAGGAATTCAGCATTAAAAGCAAAATCCAGTACAAAAGTTCCATTTAATTCATTTTGCATCAAAATAATCACTTTGAGTGGGAATGCAAATGGTTAAGAAACAGTGTGTTTCCCAGAATATTGTGAAGAACACACTAAATCAAATCAAACTTAGGCCTATTCTGAGGTTTTACACTGGAATCTGGGAAATGTTCTGCAGCCTTGGAGCTGCAGCAGAGCAGTGGGTGCTGTTCTGTGCAGTGACAAGACAGGAATGATTCCATTGTCATGGAAGCTGTGCAGCAGGGAAAGTCCTGATGCCTGTCTTGGGGGTTTCCTGTGCAAGAACCAACATAACTTTATTCCACAACCAATGAACTGTTCTGAATCTGGGCAGAAACCTTTGTATTTCTGTGCCAGATCTCAGAATGCTGCAGCTGTGAGGGGTGGGATGTTGTAACTGTAAACATCAAAAGTGGTGCTGGCTGGGCCTGCCTGTGAGGAGTTACAGTCTGTTATAATCTGTTACTCTGTGCCACAAGAAGGACTGTGTTGTATCTGTCCTTGTCAGTAGGTAATAAACCATCGTTCCCCTCCAACTGTTTCATTGAGGAGAAATTGTTTCAATATCATGTTTGGAATTGGCACTATCCAGACTGGACTGCAGCTCTTTTGCATTTTTCCGTTATGTCAGTTGGTCTAAATTGCACACATTTAAAACAAAAACGTTTGTCTTGCCCAGTGGCTGCGTCAGTATTGCAGCCACTTTACAGAAGTTATTTCTTTTCCAAAAATTACATTGTTACATGTTTTTTTTGGAACATCTGAGTTGTGCTCCCAAACCATCCCAGATTAAAATAATAGGCAACGTGGTTTTAATAGTGTCTGAGTCCTTGCAGCTCTTGGTACTGAAACAGGTACTGTCATTGAAATCTTGAGAGTCATTTTGAAAATGCAAATTCAGCTCTCCCTCTGTAAAATGTTTATTTCATTTCAGATGATCTTCAAGAAGCTAAGAAGCTTCTAGGAAAAATGAAGTATTTTGCAAACTTAGAGGATAAACTAAAGACCAAGAAGATCCCTTCCTGATGCTGCTTCCTTTGGGATTAATAATTAATGTTATTTTCAATTAAACAGATAGTTATCAAAATCGGACAAATTGTGTTCGTTTCCTGTGTTTCCATTAAAAGCTTTAATTCTGAGGAAAATAAATGTAAAATCCAGTGCTTGCTGTGGCACTTCCATATCAGATGGAATTTGAAAATGCTTACAACCAGGAAAAGTTGTACTGGGTAAGGTGGGCCACTGTCCTGGCAGCTACAGGTATGGAAACAAGGGCCAGAAAGGCACACAAATGTCAGATATAAGTGAGATTTCTTACTTAGTGAAATATGAAGAATGTATTTTAAGTTGAGAAAGAGTCCTGGACAAAATGCTGGAGATAAGCAGAAAGGTCATTTAGTGTGTCCTGCAGGAGCTCTGTAGTCTCCTTGTGTGTGTTCCCTCACACCATCTTGAAAATTCTTTTAAGGTAGAAAGTACTTCATTCCTGTCATCTGTGCTCTCCACTACTGCATGCTTTTGGTATGTTGACCTCAGTCTGGCGAGAACTGACCTTCAAAACCCCAGAAACTGTTTAATTGGGATACAAGTCTTTATTACAAATACCAGTAATTCAGAGAGGTGCTGTACCATTGTTGTATAGTTACAATAGTAGGACTGGGTAAAGAAAGTGAAAAATGGCAACTAAATACCCACATTTGTACATAAACTGGAATATTTTAAATATTCTGAAAAAGTTTTCAGTAGGTGAGTTTTTGTTTGGGTTTTAACAAGAACTCTCTGTTTTGCTCAGTGAAGCATTTGGATGTGCCCAATGACCTGAACTGAAGATGGGGCTTTGAAATGCAAGAAGAGCCACTGAATTATCCACAGAAATCTGCCAGAGGTATCCCTGGCATTTCTGTGTCCCTACAGCATCAGGTTACAGCTAAATGTCAAGTCTTCTATGGGTAATATAATATGTTGTTAATAGTGTTTTAGCAATACATGTTTTAACAGCATTTCAGCAATACTAACTTGCCTTTAGTTACACTTCCTCTAAATACACAGGAGGATTTAATAAGGCATTTGATCATGTATTACATTCCTAATTTAGTTCATAATTCTCAGTGTTGTTCTGTTACAGCCATAAAATTACGCAGGACTTTTTAAAAATTTATCTTGAAGTTGTCTTCTTTCATAAAGCTCTGTTTCCTTTTTTCTGGTATTTCTTCCAAAATTAAGCTTGTGAAATTCCTTTTTGATTTCCAGAAAAGACTTGTTTTTTGTCTCAGGAATTACAAGGAAGATGAAAGCAGCAACAAAGGAGCACTCCAGTAAGAACACCAGAAAACAATACTGCTTAAGTCCATTCTGAAAATAAATGTGATTGCAACATATTTCAAGTGTAACAATAGGTTTGAGAAAATAAGCAGCTTTTTATTTCCATTCATACCTAACACTGCTGCTCAGATATTTTTAATAAAGTCATGCAATCTATCCTTTACATGTAACTTTTTAAATTTTTTTTTTTTTTTTTTTAGATAAAAGACTACCAAGTGCAGTGCAATAGACTGGGTAGTCTTTTATTTGAAAAAAATAAGATAAACCATTTGAACACTAATTCACAGTCTAGGGACAATTCAATGTTTACTTCTTAGCTGTCACATATTTTAAGATTATATGATTTATCTTTTTCTGGAATATTAGCATTTTTCAGTGCTGTACATTAAAAAAACCCAACTGTCTTATTGAGAAGCAGAGCTCAACCACAAAGAAAGAACAGGCAGATCCAAATACCCTGCTGCATGATGTTCCTGCAGGTTTTGCTCTCAAGAGCAAGTGCTACAACTTAAGATTCAAAACTGGACATTAAACCCTGTAATGCCTTTCCTAATAATCTGATCACAGAACCCTCTGTCAGTTCAGTGAGCCATCAGAGGTGGCCACCAGAGGTACTACCTTGCCTTTACTCTGCCATAAAAGCACAAGGCATTGTTAAAAAATGCATTATCTGAATCTGATTTTTTCTTTTTTTGATACTTTTCCTTTCTTTTAATCTGAACATGAAAACTACCCCCACACATTCCTTTTAATTTTCACTTATCACGTTTTATTGGTTTCTGTGAGATCTAAAAAATATTTTAAGACTGACTGAATCTAGTCAAACTCATTTGAGGGGCAGTGAGCATCCTGTTCAAGTGTCACTGAATAATGCACACAAGTGTATCTAATGCAATATAAACAATGGGATGGAACCTGGGAGCAGGTGAAATGGGTGGTGCAACCGTTAGGAAATTGTGCTGTGCATACTTACCACTATAAAGGGAAAGAGCATTCCAATTGTGAAGAAACTAATCCAACTAAGAGTCCCTCCGATCATGTAAGCAGCAGGACGTGAGGACTGTACAAATAACTCCGCTATCAGGGTGTTGGTTATGCCACCTGGGAATGGGTCAGAAACAGAACTAAATGTTCACCTGTGGTATTTCTAATGTCAGAAAAAAATGAGTTGTTTTTGAATATGCCACTAGCTGATCTATTATGATTCCTAACAGTGCACTTCTGAGGCTGCTGCCCTTGTAGGAAGGAGCCACTGAAACAGCCCCGTTTCAGCCACACTGCTCAGGGAGCAGGGCCCCATCTGAGGGGTCACAGCCTGTGTCTTGCTCTGTGTATAACTCCTTTGTTCTGAAGGGCAGAACTAAGCCCTCCCTCACACACAGCTGCCCCAGAAGGGTGCATGGTAAGCCTCAGTTTTGGGCTACAAGATGGGCTCACTTGGGTTCCTTAGCCAGAGCACCAGCAGCTGCACCACAAAGATGTCCCACCTGGTGCACACAGCAACACTGCTGACACCCCCTTTCCCTCCCACACCTTCCACCACTCGGACACACACGTTCCTGTGCAGTACCTGGTCCCAACCCAAAGCTCAAGATGAAGGCAAATATAGACATCATGCTCACGTAAGGCACCCAGGGGTACAGGTCCTGGAACAGAAGAGAATGAGAAGGTTTAGTTCAGATTTTGGTAAGCCAGTTTAAAAGTTTAGCTTAACAGTTACATTGCCTTTTGTATGTTACTGAAAGTAAGACCAGCAGTCACTCATGACTGTTTACAGCTAATTCATTTAACAGTACTGCTTTGGAGAATTTAAATAAGTGTTCATTCAATAATTTTTACTAAATTGTATCACAGAATCACATGATCGTAGTATGGTTTGGGTTGAAAGGGACCTTAAAGATCATCTAGTTCCCACTCCCCTTCCATAGGCAGGGACACCTTCCACTAGACCAGGTTCCTCCAAGCCCCATCCAACCTGGCCTTGGACACTTCCAGGGATGGGGCAGAAGAATTTCTCCCTGATACTCAATCTAACCTACTCTCTTACAGTTTAAACCCATTCCCCCTTATCCTGTCGCTTTTCACTCACTATAATCATAACACGTAATAGGAATGAGTCCTTTGCACCTGGTAAGTCAGAGAGAAGGTTAGAACAATGCACCAGAGGGTCATGAGGAGATAACCCCCAATGATGAGGTATCTTCTTCCCACGTAGTCTATCAGTAAACCCTGTGGACAAGACATAATATTCTGTTAATATACTCATCTCATTTTTACCAATGTTCTTCAAGAAGCATCATTACTCTTTGTGCTGGGAGGTAGAACAAATTGCTCCTTACACAGGAGAGGGCTGTGAGGCACTCACAAGCTCCAGTGCCGAGTGTCACATATGGGATTTTCTCAGCTGAGATCCCAGCTGCTTCAAAAATGTAAGTTGCATAGAAATAAATCTACAACAGAAAAAAAAAAAAAACAACAACAATGAGGCTTTCCTGGTAGTTAAAGCATTGACTGGAAACAAAGTCTAGTTCATACTCAACACACAGCTCAATGTATTTTATATTGTGAGAGTTACTAATCCCATGTAAGCACCAAAAGGAATCTGTTAAATTCATGTCTATGTAAGTATATTGCTATCAGAGAAGCAAGTAAAATTATTCAACTTATAATGCTTCATATTCCTAAACCAGACACAATAAGCTGATCCACCTTTATTTTCAGAAGAATGTAAACACAACTATCAAGTCATTCTTTAAAGAAATTTGCATACCAGAAACACAGAAATGAGAAAAAAAAATTAAGAAAAAGAGAAACACTGAAATAACGCAAGGATACTCTTTCCCACTTATCCCATTTCTCTGAGCTTCTGTAAGCAGATCCTTTGTGTTAACAAATGGTCGAAAAACAGATGGGAATTAAACCATTATTTAAGCTGTTAATTCATATGAAATCTTACAGCATTTATCCCACTGAGCTGTTGGCCTATGGTCATCACAATCACGGTGATGAGCTGCCATCTCACACCGCGATCGGTGAATAACTGCCAGGGCTTCTTGGGCTTCTCCCCATCTAAGGCAGAAGATTCCCGCTGGATGTCTTCCATCTCCCTTCGATACTCTGCAGAGCCATGAAATCGCTTCAAAGCTAAAAAATAGAAGAAAATAATTTCCTTTATGTTTGCCTATTAACCACAACTCCTGGAAAATCATCTCTTTCCACAATAACCAGGCTTTTGCTAGGATATGAAAACTTTTGTTTTGTGACTTGTTTTTCCTTGCTGGTTTTTCAGCATTTTTTGCTGTAGTGGATTTGGAGGATTCTTGGCATTCCTTTACTCTTTTTCTGAGGAATATCTGACCTTGAAATACAAAATATTTTGTATCTCATCCCCAGACCTCCAAATAGTCTTTTCATCTGCGGACACTCTTACCAGTTTGAAATGTTTTGCTTATATTCTAGGCAGAAATAAAATAAATTTCTTGTGATATTTAGCTTCTTCTTGCAGTACAAAGAGAACTGTGTAATTTCAGGGGGAAAAAAATCACAACTAATCTGAATTTCTGTCTTTCAAATTCTTCTTGTAGTGTGTGGGCTTCATGTGCTCCTTTCTGCAGGACTGCAAAGCTATGAAAGTACAGTTGTTTCTTGAGTAGGGTTTGAATAAAAGAAGAGCAATCATAGATCTCTCAAAGGTAAAGGGAAAAGTTTAAGCTGTCATAGTTCTCCTACCTGATATAAAAAGGGAAAATAAAGGTATTTAAAAGGTAACTGTTCAGAAAATGGAGGATTTAGGAGTTTTCTGCTCAAATAGCCAGTGAACACTCTTTTTCAGTAAAAAGCTCTCCAACTTTTCAGCTACTTATGCCATCTCCTTTTTAGTTCTTTCCTACTATTTCTTACAGGAAAAGTACAACACTACCACTGAAAGGAAGAAAATATCTAATGTCATTAGTACTTAATCTGTGACGTGACCTGAGAAATGAGCAATCCAGTGAGAGGTCCAGTAATTCACAGATGTTACTTTGTCAAAAGAAAAAGTTTAGAAAGAGAAGAGAAAACCTTTAGAAATTTCACTGAAGAGTAACAAAACATGAAGTTATATTTGAAACAGGACAATAAAATTTTGTTCACAATCCATTACAGGCTCCTGAGTTCCACAATCCCTTTTTCCACATAAGCTCACTGGAAGAAAAACATGGGCCAAAAAGCACTAGGTGATATAACTGTGCTGTGTAGATGAAGATACAAGGAGAATCTGGAACCCAATCTACTCATTGTACCCTTCTGAAGACACAGAAAGTATAGATGTTGGATATTACCTTTGGCACAGCTCAGCTCATCACCTCTGTCAATAAGAAGGTATCTGGGACTTTCAGGAAACCACGGCAGGAATAAAAGTTGGGCAAATGCTGGAAAACAGCTGCTGGATAGCAACAGAGGCCAGTGCTTTTCTCCACCTAGTAATTCCCTGTGTGAAAAAGAAGGTGTGGGAAAAGAAGGTAAAGAATTATAATAATCAGCTACTGGTTACTATGAATGCAGTCTCTGCTCTTGGAACTTAAGATCCCGCTGTATGAAGGCCCAGCAACGTCCTCTGATCTCGCTGGGGACAAAACCAGTGGCAGTGCTACGGCACAGAAACAAGGAGTGCTTTGCTCCCAAGCCCTGGCTTGTGAACATTCACTGTCTCCAGCAAGAAACTGGTAGAAAACATGGACTCAGCACAGATGTGCCTGTATTATTGATGCTGGTCTGGCTGACCCATCTAAACTGAGACTACTTCCCTAGGGAGACAGTGCTGATGGCTGCCAGTTGTAGGAATAAGGTGACCAAAGCAGGGTTTTCTTCCTCCAGGGGGACCCTCCCAGTGAATTCTAATGCTACAATGGCACAAGGAATGTTCTGCAAGGAGCTGCAGGAAACTGGAATTTGTTACATGGGAGTAACACAAAACAGGAAAAAAAAAAAAGTATTTCTAACCTCAAACCAATTATTTGTCCTGTCAGAATCCCCCCAGTCAGAAAGATGGAAGTCCCCATGGCCAAGCCTCCTCTTAGATGTTTTGGGGCAATCTCCCCAATATACAAAGGCTGCACACAGAACCCAATACCTGCAAGTAAATGAAAGAACATTTACCTATCAATAGAAATTACTTTGCAAACAGTTACTAAACCAAAACAGGAAGGAAATCAGACTTAGTTAATTTCCTATTAATTTAGCTGCCTTCAGATTCCAAGTTAGACTACAGAACATTTTTGTCATAAACACATATAAAACCTAAAGAATCAGCAGTAACAATAATTTATCATTCACCATAGTTTATTGAGAGTAGGAATAGGGAATCATTCACCTGTATTTATGCCAATCAAAAACCTTCCAGCAATCAGTAACTCAAACAATCCTGTAGGATAACTGAGCCCCATTAAAATGGAAGCTAGTATTGCTATAATATTATTCATCAAAAGAGCTCCTTTCCTACAGAGGAGGAAAAAACAAAAAATAACAACAATAATGAAACAAATAAAACAGACACCACCACAACCAAACCATTTGAAATAAACAAACAAAATCAAAACAAAAAACAAACAAACAAACAAACAAACAAAAAACTAAAAAAGACAACCAGACACTAAAGAAATCTGCCAAAACATGTTTTTTAAAAAGTTTTCCTTTCTGGTAATATGGGAAAAAGTGGGCTTTATACTGAAGAAACGTGCTATTCCCTGGAAACCCAAACATCTGATGAAACTGATTGTGGTTTTTAAAATGTCTAAACATAATAATAATAATGCATAAATATGACAGAATGTCTGACAAGATAGGAGCAGGGTTTGTTCATTTACACACACACAAAGTGCAACGGATGAGGCAGCATGTGCTTACTGGCACAAAGGCTTCAAATGGGGTGGGGGGACACCCATGTTTGCAAATGTGTTCTCCTACTGAGAAGACTAAACTGGAAGGTTATACAATTCAGGCCTCATCCTTTAAAGTCACGTTGGAATAAACTGTAAAATTCTGCCAGAAAACTCTTCTGAAGTGAAAAACATGTATAGACACTGAAGGTACTCTTTTATCCCATTCTTTTTCCATTTATTTTCTTTCTATTGCAGTAAGAAGGTCGGAGAAGCAAACATGCTGCTATATGCCTGCTGCTGCACTGACCTGCCCAGGCGAATTGCCATGCTGCCTCCCATCAGCGCTCCACACAGGCCTCCAAGGGAAAAGATAGAAGCAATGACAGACCAAAGAAAAGTCAGCAAATCTGGATTGAGTTCCTTCTGATAACGACTAGTCCAGGTTTCGTTTAAGAACTTGTGTATATGCTGCAGTAGAAAAGAATGATGAATGTGTAGCATGATGTGCAGCCCTACAGCACAGCACTACAAATAACTTGCACCCCAATCCTGAAAACCAATTCTGGGAGCTAACAAAAGGTATCATCTTATTTGTATTATATTAAAAACACCAATGTCTGGCAGAATCTTCCTTGACCGCAGCACTGTTTCCTGCTCCTCGCACACATCAAAGGCCACTGAGCAGCTCTGCTTTGTGCCTGGCTCAGGCAGCCTGTGCTGCACCACAGGAGAAACACCAGCCGGCCACACTGCCATGAAGAGAGCTCTGAGGTCCTTCTGCACGAGGGAGGGGACGGCAGGTGATTGGTCCAACTGATATTAGGAACACCTCAGAGCACAGAGGCCTTACAACCTAAAATATTGTACAGTCAGGAGACTCATTTTGACACTTGATCTAAATCCTCCTGCCTTAGTGTAGTCCAACAAGTCATAATAAAATCCCTTTTGCAACTCTAATAATACTCCACCTTTCTTACAGTATTCATGCGTCAGAACTTTTACACTGTTACCCTAAATGCTTGGTCTCCTAAAATTTGTCTTAAGAAACTCCTGAACTGACATTATATGTAATAATAGAGTACAGATAAAATAAATAAATAATAAAATACAGATAAAAATAAATAAAAGAACTCCTGTTCTTTGCCAGTAAATGAAGACTTTACAGAAGGACAAAGTTCCTGGACTGTCCCTCTGTTTCCAGCATATTACATGTTCTTTCACAAACAGCTTCTTTTAAGCTTTGTAAAAAGCATACAGTGTTACAGCAAATTCAGTCTTCACAGTTTCACAAGCAAATCAATCAGCTGATGGCAGAAAATTACACCCATCACTTTCACAAGACCATTTGCTCAGATCCTTGAGTCATCTACAAAATAGGCAAAATTCTTAAGGCCCTGGCAAAGGATGCACAAATAACAAGTAGATGAAAATACCTACAAGTTACTCAGCCACTACAGATGCAACTTTTTGACTCCCTAAGAAGATCTGTTTCAGTAAGCTGCCTTGTGATGGACAACTATCCTTTCTCCCTGTTATCCACTGACAGGATGTGTGGGAATGGTTCCAAGCTGTGTCAGGGGAGGCTTAAACTTGACATTAGGAGAAACAGTGGTGACATCCTACAGAAACACTGGAACAGGCTTCCTAGAGAAGTGGTCAATGCCCCAAAAGCATTTGGACAATGCCCTTAGTAACATGCTTTAACTTTTGGTCAGCCCTGAAGTGCTCAAGCAGCTGGACTAGGTTGTCGTTGTATGTCCCTTCCAACTGAAAATATTCTCTTCTATTCCATTCTTAATGTTCTGGGCTATTTTAGTCAAAGTCGTAACTGAAAAAGATATTTATTCAGTTAATCCTTCTAAAACATACTTAGCAGAGGTATTTATGTGGCCTATTTGGCACCTTTATCTGACACAGAACACCTCTGATGGGAGGTGCTCCTAAAGAAATTCACACGAAACCCTTTGGGAAATCAACAAGAATCTTTCATGTGAGAGGAAGCCTGCTTTGGTTCCCACTGCACATTTGGCCTCTTGGCCAAGTTAGAGAGGAAACAGCCCTGTGAACAAGAGATGAGCTTTTACCTGTGTGGGTGCATTGATAATGGAGACATTATACCCATACTGAAAGGTCCCTCCAATTCCAACAGCACAAACAGCCAGGAACAATGTCCAGCTGGGGAGCTAGAGAACAAAAGAAAGCATAATGGGTGTGAAAAGAGAGAGGTCTTTGAACACACATGCATGTCATATCTAGGAGAGAATCATGGGGAAATACATCATGTTTTTACTTTGGAACAGTGAAAATATTTGTTCAGGAAACTGCATGAACTCCCAAATGACTCCAGCAGGAGAAGCATTTCACGCTGACTTCGGCCATGATCGTTAACAGCCTTTAGAGTTGCCACAATCACAAGTCTCCAGATTTAAGCGTAGGCAACATAACCACTGCAGATTTTATTGGAAACTCTGTAAATGCTTTTCACATGAGCCACACTGCCCAGGGTGTCTGTTTTTAATGAAAGAATGAAAGGACTGTTTATGTTTGGTGTTAGAGGCACTATGATTCAGTATAAGAATTAAACCAAATCCCAGTTTCTTTGCCACACATTTCAACCAAGATGTGAGAAATAACAGTATTTTATTTCCCACTGCAAGTCCCTAAAATGATTACTCAATGTCTGCAAGCTGGCAGTTACTAAGCCCTAGTATCTTAAATGACAACATAATGTTCACTGATAATAGTATTCACTCTGAAATATATTGGCATGTGGTTTTTAATTTTTCAATACTGATTACCTAGTTACATTCCTAAATCAGTATTTATAAACTAAAATTAACAGAGTCACAGATTCATCGGGTTTAAGGCCAATACAAACTACTATAATGATACATTTAAATCTCAGAAGTCTAACTGGTCATAAAACATCATACTTTGGATGAGACCTCTGGGTCAAAGATCTCCAGAGGTTTGTACAGTGTTTGGTTTCTCATGTGGTGCTTTCTGACTCTATTTTTTACTGAATATGATCGTACTAAAAATAACATCCAGTTCGAACATCTAGCAACCCTTTCATTTAAAATTAAGTCCTAATTTCATCTCATAGTACCTTATTGTCTAACTTCAGCTGGACACGACGACGTCTCCTATACTAAAGGCACTTCAGTGATCAAATTTCCCCTTCCTTCATATATATTGTACATAATTTTTTTATAAACTTGTACTCCCTGAATTTCTCATTGCAAGGTATGTAGACTAATTCTTCATCATTCTCATTCTTGGGCCAGTTCCCAGAAATGCTGAGTTATTCCAGATACTGTACTGTAGTCTGAAAGAGCTGTGTCTTTCCTAAAGATAATTCACCAAAACTTCCTTGCTTCAGGACTAAAACTCAGAAGTTGAAATTAATCTTAATAAAGTAAAATGCAATTAACATTTCCTTACAGTTTCCAAGAATAAAAAGTGTCTCTCAAAATTACAAGCAAAGCAATGAATCAAGAGTAATATATAAGGGCTGTAGTGAGTATGCTAGAAAAAATAAAGCTAGAGGGGGTAAATACTGGCACTGCACACTCAGACCTTTCCGTTAACCAAGTACTGTAAGCGTATTTTGTGTGTCTCATGGGTACAACCTGGAATCTAGAAAAGACAGAAAATAAACAAACAAACAACCCAAAATCATTAACATACATCACATAAGTTTTCTTATGACAGATGTTTTGTTCATCCTGCCCAAAATCAGCCGGCTCATTACACTGATATGTTGTCTCACATTGGAGTTTGGGCCCCAATTTCTTGGTGAAAGCACAGACAATACCCTCATCTGTTCTGTATGCTACTGAACTCCTGACAGTTTAGAAGCACTTTCACCTTATCTCAGAAACACAACACAAACAAAATTCAATTTACATTCAATGTAGAACATGAGAATGAGAAAACGTGCTTTTATAGCTTCCATTGTATAACACAGATAGGTGTTCAAGAAAGCACTAAACTTTATCAGCCTAATCCCCTAATGTTTTTCTATTTAAAAGCTGACAGAAACATCAGTGCATTTCACATTTGTGCATCACTGCTAAAACCACAAACTCCCAGCAAGATCCACCTTCTGAGGCCAGGACAGTTCTGCTTACCTTGCTGGGCGAGCTAGACCCTCTGAGCAGCGGCTGGTGCTCCATTCTGAGCATGGGCTGAATTGGATTTCCTTTGCAAAATTTAGTAAGACTACATCACAGGAACAAAAGGTGCCAGAGAAATTAGGTTACTATTGTATTAGGACATAGCTGGGTTTTGTTGGTTTGTTTTTCTGAGGGTTTTTCGGTTGCCTCTGGGGTTTTTTTGTTTTGTTGTTTAGTTTTGGGGGTTTTTTTGCTGTTGGGACTTTTCCTAAACTTTTCTCTGACAGAAGCGTTCAACTTCGCTAAAGCCTCACAGCAGCCAGGGATTGCTTTCCCACCTCTAACACCGCTGCACACGCACTGTCCCCCTCCAACTCCGCGCAGAACCCGCAGCCTCCCGCCCCCAGCACACGAACGGGCGGTTACCGTCTGCCTCGGCGCCATCCCTCGCTCTCGCCGCCTCCCCAACAGCGACTGAGCTCCTCAGCTGACCGGGATTTGGCTGCGGGGCAGCGCCCGCCCCGCCGCGGGGATTAGGCAGGACCGCGGGCAAGAGTGGGGCTGTCTCGGCACTGCCCGGGGAGGGAGGGGACCCCACGGCCCCCATGGCCACGGCCGGGACTGCGCCCCCCGGACTGCGGCTCCCACAGCGCCCGCAGCCTCTGCGGCACCCGGGACTCCCACAGCGCCCGCGACTCCCACAGCGCCCGGGATTCCCACAGCGCCCGGGATTCCCACAGCGCCCGGGATTCCCATAGCGCCCGGGACTACGATTCCCATAGCGCCCGGGATTCCCATAGTGCCCGGGATTCCCATAGCGCCCGGGACTACAGCTCCCACAGCACCCGGTACTACGATTCCCACAGCGCCCGGGACTACAACTCCCACAGCGCCCGGGACTACAACTCCCACAGCGCCCGGGACTACGATTCCCACAGTGCTCGCGGATTCTCCTCTGATCGTAGCGAAAGGCCTGGAAAGGACGCGGGCTCTGTCGGCGGCTCCAGCTGGGGGCCCGGCCCGGGCAGGGTGAGCGCTGCGGGCCGGGGCGGTTCGGCGCGGGGCTCCTGCGGGAGCGCCTCGGGCCGGTCCGGCGGGTTTTTGACGTGCGTTTTTTTACACCCGCAGCAGGAAATGGCAGCGCTCGGCAGATCCTGCCAGGGCATCCCGGCCGGCCCGGCCGTGGAGCTCCCTCCGGCTCCGGCCGCTGCCCCGGACCGACACGGGCCGCATCCCGGAGCCGGCGGCCACGGCCGTCTCCAGCCGCCCGGGATGGTCATGGCAGGGATCGGAAACAACGGCGCCGACGGATCGTCCGGCCTCTGTCTGCAGAGCAGCTTCGACCTGGCCTCCCTGGCCGCGCTCGGGAGCCACAACGAGGGGCTGACGGCGGCCCCGGTGGGATCCTTCACCAGGAGCCGCAGCCAGTGAGTGCCAAACCCCTTCCCTCAGGGCCGGTGCCGGAGGGCCGGCAGTGTCAAACGGCGGTGCTTGGCCAGGAGGGGTGGATTTTGTTTCCTTCTAGCACTGCTTCACTGGTAGGAGGTTAGAATTGTATTGTGCTCATCTTACAGCCTTGAAGCTGGCTGGTGGGGGATAAAGGAGCCTTCTAAAAGGCGAGATAGGTGATCGAGTGTACCAGCGTCTTCACGTGCTTTTAAACTCATGTGTTTATTTATTTATTTATTTTTAAACTTGTTCTTTCTCATATGTAAGCACAAAACCCTTAAGTTATTCTATAAAACGCTGTGTTTTGGTCACATTTGAGTATGTCCCTAACAGACTCAAGTTGGATCATGTGTTGCTTCTTGAAGTAGTTGAATTTTAGCAAAAATTGATTTTGCTCCTTGTGGGAAAAAAAAATAACGTAAAGGAGGAGAAATTAGGATGGAATTGTGCTCAGAGAACTGAGCAATTACGGTTGCCTTTGACTTCCTTTGGAACAAAGTGCTCATTTATTGTCCAAAGCTTCCATTCCCTTTATGGCGGGTAATGTACCGCAACTGTTGCTCTTAGCTGCAAGTGAAATTTTAAAAAGGGGGGAAATATTTTTTAACACAGTCAGTGTCACTGGAAGATACAATTAGAAGCTGAATAACTATTTGTTTTTCTTCTGCAGTGTTTCTGTGCGCTATGGAAAGAAGCATAAGCTAGAAGAAGAGGCAGAAGGGTAAATTAATTTGTCTTTTATAGCCTGAAAAATCTTAATTTGCTTTTTTTGTTCTAAAACATTTAAGCTCATCTACAATGCAAACAGGAAGGGAACGTCTATCATAGTTTCCACTTGGAACTCTTCCCCTGAATTGTACATGAGCCTGAATCCATTTATGTTACCTAATCAATTGTGTAGCACTGATTTTCTTGCATGGGTACTCACATTTCACTAAGAGCAACACGGATTTATTTTCTTTGTTGAGGTTTTGCTGCTACAGTGTGTCAAAGCTGCTGAAATGCACATGACTTTCTGTAAGATGTCTTTTTTGACATTTGTAAACTTACTTTGTTTCCTAGTTGTCCTGTGCGGAAGAAGAGACTGACAGGAGCCAAAAATTGCCCTTTGAATCCCAACACTGAAGAATGGATTCTCTGTGCAGGTCAGCAGGCAGCTGGGGAGGTAGCAAGTCAATATGGTGGCAGCGGTCCTGAAACTGCCATGTTAGAAATTCCCTGTGAAGAAATGGATCAGACAATGGGGGAACAGCAATGCGAGGTTGCTCGCAGGAAACTTCAGGAAATTGAGGACAGGTAAATGCAGGGATTGAGTAGCCTGGCTTTGCTGAGCTTTCCCTTTTCTGGTGGGAGTTCAAGGGTAAATCTAGCACTCAGCAGTGTGATAACACTTCTGTGAGTCTGAGGTGAACCTTTTGTTCAACTGATTTCTTTTTAAGCTACCTATGGTTCTATGAGTCTTTGGACTGATACTGTGATCTGAAATCGAGGGTGCTAGAGCAGAAAATGCTGAATAAATAACCCCTGATCACAGTCATTATGCAGCAGCAATATATCATAATGGGGTTTAATGCTCTTCTTTGAGTGTCCAGAGCTCAGATTTTAACCAGTTATCTGGTCAGATTTGAGCTCAGCTTTTTTTCAACCAACTGCAGCTTGTTCTGTGATTCTTACTTAAAGTAGATGTGAATTTGTCAGCATAGAGAGTGGCACGAACCAGAGAGGTCTCTCTGCACATACGCAGTTAGGCTGAGGTTCATCGTGCTGATGGTGTGATGTGGGGTGATGGGGTGGCTGCAGAGAGACTGCTGCGGTCATTTAATAAATGTACTGTGCGTTCTGGCCCTCAAAAGATTTCTGGGGATGGCACGTGTGTGTATCAGTTGATTGCAGCTGAGCTAGTATTCTGGAATATCTAAAATGACCACTGCAAATGATTAGAAAAGCCAAAAGTTATAGAAATTTTAAAAGAAGGTTGTTTTTTTTTTAGATTATTACTCCACAGATGATGTGTGAGGGGAAACAAGGTACTGTTAGACTGGGGTCTTTTCATGCGTAAATCAGACTAGTGATATATGTCTTTATCTGCCCATGTCTGCTTTGGACATCTCAGAGGATTGTTCCCCATCCTTCCCAGCTACTCTGCTAAATTTTCTGTAAAAGGTTTACCAGAACCAAAGAAGATGCCTCCATTTTTTCTGAAGGCTTCAACATTTTGTGCTGATTTAATCTCAGAAGCTGGTGCGATGCTATGAAAAGTGAAGCACTGTATTCAGTACCTCTGCAATAATTCTTTAAAGTTCAGACATGGGGGATTGAGCAGGTGAAGCTACTGCATAGCTGACACTCACTCATGTAATGTGACCGAATCGTACAGTTTCCCCTGAAGGGAATTTATTTATTTTCTCTCAGTGTATGTTTGCACTGACACTGCTGGGATACCACAGGGATAACAAAGCCAGCTCAGGTACCAGAAGTGGCACAGCTGCTCGAGTGGCTTCTGTGCTAACAGTCCTTCTCAGGGTATTTTGGCCCAAGAGAGACTCACGTTAACACAGCCCCGCTGCTTCTGGTACCCAGCCTAGGTCAGAGATCTGCACAGTGCAGTGCACGTAGATGTGACTGTAGTCTGCAGTGGTTGTGCCTGATAACAGTATACTCAATAGTGTTTATTTCCCTCTTCCCCCTCCATTCCTAGGATAATTGATGAAGATGAGGAAGTTCATGCTGATGGAAATGTTAGCAATCTACCCACTCTTATCCTGTCAGATACCCTTAAAAAAGGGATGAAGAGGGATTTTGGTGAAGTCCTGACAAAGAAAATAATAGAATCTATGTAAGTTCTGGAGGAAATAATGGTGCTATGTAGCTAACACATGCAAATGAAAAGAGAGACCCCGTCTCATATTTGTGGAGATGTCCTTAATTTACTGCATGATGCAGCCAATGTTGTATAACAGACCACTCGTCTGTCAAAAGCAGGAAAAACTGTCCTAATGTAAAAAAATAAGTGTAACTGTAGTGGTCACCAAGTGTCTGTTTTGTTCTCCTCATTTCTACAGAGAGAAATTTGTTGATTAAACCATTATAAGCTTTAGTTTTATGTATATGAATTTTCAAAATGAGAAGGTCCTGAAGTGTGACCAACAGTGGTCATCAAGTTTTGTGCTAAAGAAAAGAGAGAAAATACAGGTTAGAACTAGAAGTAATGGAACTAGTTAAGGAAGAGGAAACTTAATGGGGGGGAAAAAGGCATATGGCTTCTGGAATACAGTTCCAGGCTAGCTCAAAGGATGAAGATACTCTCTGGTCTTCTGCATTTAATAGCTGTGCTTGGAGAACTTACTTAAATTTAACTGAAATTCTATCCCCTTCTAGGACCCGTCCTTCTATGGAGCTGGTGCTTTGGAAACCTCTTCCTGAAACTCTGACAGATAAACTGAAGTCTGTTTCTGTTAAGAACTTCAAGCAGCAGAGTACAGAAGGGTGTCAAACTAAGCAGCCAACACCGAGAGCTCCTTTTGACCCACAGACTGAAACGTTCCCTGTATCACAACAGACTGCCATGTCTCCAGATCCATATGCTAGTTTGGGAATATCTGGGTGTGCAGAAGAAGAAATGGAGTTGTAGATGCCAGATTTTAGATTGGAAGTGGTGAGCTTCTGATGCTTTTTGTTGGTGTTTTTTTATTCTTTCTGGTTTGATGTGTGAATCTGGAGTTTTATTATTTGTTTTTTGTTTTCTTATTAACAATCACAAGGACATGGTTTGGCCAGGAAACATCCCAAGATTTCTGTACTCCGATCTGTTAATTATTGTTATTTTTACTGAAAAGGTAATCCAGAGGCCTTTGGAACAAGGAAGCAGCTTTCCATCTTGCTTAATGGTGAAATATCCTCTTAATTGCCCTTGGTAAAGTATAAAATCTAAATATTGAATGTAACTGTGGCTTAAGCCATGTCTTTCACTTACTGAGCCATTAAGATTTTGGTGCACATACTATGCTTGGCCAGTTGGTTTAATTTGAATTACAAAAGGGTATGTAAAAGAAGAAATACTTTTGAATCTAGCCATAGGTAGAAAAGCAATCCCTATGGAAATACAGCTTTTCACACTATTTCATCTGTGGCTGGTTTGGACCTGATGTAAACTCAAATGTAGAAATTACACATCCTGTGGGGTGGTAGGGAAGGAATGTTGCAGCAAAAGTCTTTGTAGAAAGTAAAGCCAGCTTCTAACTTGCAGGATACCTGCTAACTTCAGTCATCTTTGGTCACTGGCTTCTAAATTTTGTTTGTGGGTTTTTGATGTCCCCCTCCCCAGATGATGCAAAGTCAGGAGAAAAGTGGTTCTGAGCCAAGAGATTCACTTTTTACATTGTGCTGAGATTCTTTGTATGCATCCAGTCAGAAAAGCCCGTTGAAGACACTGTTAACTTTTAATTAAATAAACGCCATCCTTTTATTTGGATAAACATGGTAAGTAAATCAGATGACAGGGAGCTGCTTTCTGGCACAAAGAGGGTCAAATGCTGATTATTGTCTGTAGCCAAGTCCCAGCCTTTTGAGACTGCTGGCATTAGTGGTGAGGTAAAGAAGATGATTGTCTTCTTCCTGAGAGAATCTAGACTTTAAAGTTGAAGCCAGAACATGTGCCATTTAACGTAGTGTCACATTGTTTATACAATGTATGCCAAAAGAATTTTGTACCCTGCTTAGGGTGCCAAGGAAAGGAATCCACAATGAGCTATTACTTGTACCTTTTCTCAATGCACAGCAGTTCCATTTTGCTTGAAACCCTAAAGAAGGCAGAGAATCTTACCTTCTGTTCCTGAGTCCTTGAGCTTTCTCAGAAATGCCTGAACTGGGGCTTCTCGTAAGAAATTCCTTTCCAAGCAATGGGTTCTGTTCAGAGTCCTACAGCCAATCTAGTTTTGACATCTTGCTAACATAAAGGAGCAAGTACACAGTAATGCAGCTGCTCACATAAGAAAATCTACTCTTCCGTTGCACAGCTAGTTGATAATCTTTGTGATGATATTCTTTACTGTTAACACATAGCTGATAGTTTAAAATCAAGCTTCTCTTTTTGCATAAATCCTTTATTTCCTTCTAGTTGTTCAAAAGATACCCCTGTTTGTTAAGTCCTGTTTCTTTCAGCTTTTGTTGAAGGTTGGTTGAAGTTTTCTGTCTCTTGATAAAACTTTTCAGAGCTTCACTAAAAACATTCCAACATTTGAATAGTATTACTCTGGAAACCAGTACCATTCTGAAGATCCATTAAGTAGGCTGCACATGTTCTCCAATCTTGCTATGCCTAAATTCATTTCAGGGTCTGCTGTAAATCTCTTGCATGAACTGTGTACAGTTCCCCATGTATTATTAAGCTGTGCTTAAAATCTACAGCCTTTGATGTGCTCCACTGCTTGAGTATAAAGTAAAGCAATGCAGTTTGGAGAAGGCTGTAGTCCCTGCAGGTAGAAAATGTGTTGCCTCCAACTAATTAACTGGTTTTCAGCTTGCAGGATTATATTTAATTTATATTAAGGTTGGAAGTATTTTAGCTGAAAGCTCTGAATCCTAAATAAACTGAGAAGAAAGGATAAAAATTCAAAAATTTGATTCAACCATCTCAGCAACTCTGAAATTGCAGCAGAGGAGTAAAAAAACTCTAAGAAGCCTAAATATATCAAATCTAGATGCAGTTGTTTTCCTCTTTAAAGTGACAAATTGCATACCTGATTTGCAGAATACGAAAGTTTTGTAGATGCCTTTTAAGCATACTTTTTTCCTGTTAGATTTGTACCAAAGGTTGACTTTCAGAGGTGTCTCCTCCTAATTGTTTGATGCCAATAGGGCTTCACTGACCCATTATTCTGCCATCTGAAACAAGAATATAGCGGTGGACTATTGATGAAGACCATGAGATGGGGAAAAAACTGTCCAAGAATTTTGTTTTGGTAGAAAACATTTACTTTGTTTTTTCATAATTCACTTCTGCCCTTGTGATAGGAGACAGTGGGGCTGAATCGCTTAAATTGATGGGGGAGGAGAAGAGTGGGCTACAGTGAGAACTGAGTGTCAGGAGGACCGAGCAAGATCCTTGCCAATCACTTGGAGAGGATATGGGAGATCAAGCTCTGGGTGTTTTCAGACTTCTGTATTTGTGAGTTTTGTTGTTGTTGGCTTCCTTAAAAGACTTTTATTAATGCTGTTCACAAGCGGGATGGCAAATGTGATGCAGTATTAGAAAAAAACTTATTTTGAAATATGGAAGATCTGATTCTGGTCTGTCTTCTCTTGGGACCAAATCACCCTTTGTATGTCAGTTTTCAATAAATTTTTTAAAATATTTTTTAGATGACTGTGTTTCATTTCCAATAAAAGTGAAAACCTTGGGAGGAGGGTACCAAGGAACAGAATTTATTTTGGCATGGTCTCGGGACTGGATTTGTAATTATTCCAGGACCTGTGTCTTGTAACAGTCAGCTAGAACAGATGTGTGGCTGCTGTCACAGATCATTTATTTCATCAAATGCAGATGTAACCCATGTGAACCACTGGGTCTGGATCCTTGCTTGTGAGGCAAGTAGGACTCCAGAAGTCCGAGCAATCAGAAAGCAGTCACCCAAAGGAAGTATGCTGCAGTGTGAGAGCTCCTGCTCCCTGCATGTTACCCTTCCCTTACTACCTTAGCTTTGCCTGGGTTGAGTTTAATTTGGCATCTCTCAGCTACAGGAAGATCTCAGATTAAAGATCCTTGGCTAAGAGTTTAGATTCTCACACTTTAATCTGTACTCTATAAATACATATATTAAAAAGAACCTTATCCTGCCTTAGTAGCACTTAAGCAGACTTGATTCTACTAAAAACTAAATACTAGTGCTTACAGAAATTCTGAATGCTTTTAGGCTTCTAGATGCCCAACAAGAACTAGTTGTGAGTTTTTAGTGGAAGGGATCTCAATAAATATTAAGTTTTGGAACCCAGTGCTTCCAGTACGTCAGGATAAAGCATGCCAGGATACAGCCTTGAAGTTGAAAAAGGGGAAGCAAAACAGTGTAAACTGAACATTTCTGCAGGGTTTGGATGTTAAACAGCCCTTCCCAGTGCGATGGAAACGTGACCGTCACACGGTTTTCCCTGAATTCTTGGAGCCGCGAGGGGCGGGGGCCCCGCGGGCGGCGCTGCCGGCGGGTCCCGCCCCAGGGCGGGCCTCGGGAACCGGCACCGGGAACAGGCTCGGCTGGGAATTGTGTGTTCCACCTCTGGCATCCCCCTCACGCTCCGGTCAGGACAGCGATGGACCCAGGTCTAGCCCTCCGGACACCCACGGGACTGCGTGGTGCCCACGGGCGCCGACACGAGCTGCCTGGGGGGAAGAGCCGCAGTCACATCAAGTGCAACCCGTGATCCAACATCACCACGGTAATCAGACCACGGGCATGAAGTGCCACATCCAGTCTCACCTTAAAACCCTCCAGGGACGGTGAATCCACCAGCTGCCCGGGCAGCCCATTCCAATGTCTGATTACTCCCCGCCCTGAGGTGTTTTGAGCCACAGGACAGATGTGCTTTCCCTGCCTGCAGAAGTAGGACGTGCTGCAGGGCAGTTACTCCTCCAGCAGAAGGCAGCAGCTTTCTGCTCCATACCGCACATCCCGTGCCTTTTGCCTCGTACCCACGGACGGTTCTGAGGATCACGGTGCTCTGGGTCAGTGACAACAGGCAGCTGCTGCAGTGACAGAGGAGAAAAGGGAATCTCCGCCCCTGCTGTGGGTGCAGCCTTGGCTTCAAAGCACTTGGCTGCTCTAGGGCAAGCTTGTAAATTGAATTAAGTTTACAGGGTACCCAAAAAAGCTTACACGGGCAGCTATCAAAACTACACTTTACTCAAGATGCTGGTTCAAACCACCACAAACTACTCAAATGAATCAAAGCAATTTAAAATCTCAAAGTTGTGAGCACTGATCTTTCTTAAACCACTGACTCAGAATAATTACTGGAGCAGAACCTTGCCTAAGAGCTGAGAACTGCAGTTTGGCTGGCTTAAGAACAAAGGAAAGTCATATGCAGCAGAGGTATCATTTGTTTTGTTCTTAATGTTGTCTGAAGCAGTCCTTTACAAAGCTGGATTTACTGGTGGTTTTCTTGCTGAAGGCTTAAGCACAGGCAAGGCTGATAATTGGTACAGGAGTTTTTGCTTAAGATGGCCATGTCTTGCATGTATTGATATTTCTTTCAGTGTGCCATTCACATACAGCTGTTGGACTTCATGTCTGTCAGACATCAGTAGTAGCAGGTCTTTCAATGCTTCCACCAACTTTTGTCTTCAGCTGTACAAACTGCCTTCAGCCATTTCCTGCCTAGACAGCTTTTCCAGGTGTTTCAGGGGTGGGTTTTTTTGTTAAAGACAAATGTTTTTTTCTGCTTCTATAATTTGGTGAAAGGAGGCCCTACTTTGGTAGTATGAATGTAAAGCTGAATGTAAGAACCGTAAACTTCCTTATTCATTGCAAACAAAGGTCACATTTCCTCATGAAACATGGTGCAATGAGCACAAGTTCCTCTCTTAAGCAGTTTGCCAAGAGTTCACATAAACGTTTCATCTCCACTCTTCCTCATCCTGGCAGTTAAGGTTGCTGTATCTGAATCTGAGCTAGTATGAAAAAAAACCAAAAGGAACTGTGTAAGCATTGCTGGCAAAGTACCTACAATTGTTCAGGTAGCAGGTGGTAACGTGTCTTTGAGCCCTATGCTACTTCTTACTCCTTCAGTTTTGGTATTCTCGATCCCCTCAGATTTCTTAATGACAGACTTTCTACACCTTTAAACATAAAGGCTGAAGACACATTCTTTGCAAATACACACAGGTGGATATTAAGCTTTTCCAGGCAGGTTCTTGAATGCTCAGTGAAGCCATTTTGCTGGGACACCATTTCTTTCTGCATTGTTACAGTTTAGTCACTGTAGCTTTGTTTAAGGTGCACAGAAAATGCAACTCTAATGCTAAACCATCACGAGTGAAACCAGACTGAGAAACATCATTGATAACCTGAGAGAGAAAAGATTGTGCATATCACTAAAGCTTCCACTTCATCCTACAGTTGGGATCAACTCCTGAAGACAAAACTAAGCAAGAGCCTCACACAGGAATGGGCTGTGCTTGCAGTGACTCAGGAACACACACATTGCCTGCATGTACTGCAGCACTGAACAGAGACAGTTCCATCAATTACTATGTTTACTCATCTACTGCACTAGTTAAGAAATTAATTTAATATCATATGAAGTTCCAATAATACCAACAAAAGTAATGCAAAGCCATGGATCAAATCCTCACTTCTATTTGCTTTTTGGCCCCACAACAATTTATTTGATACTAAGGGTCCTGTTGTAGTCATCCCTATTTTCCAGGTTGAAAGTAAAGCAACTTATTCTCTTGACTACTTGCATATTTAATCTGAATTTGTTACATTGCGTAGCTGTAGTCTCTATTTCTATCCACTACTCAGAGGGAATGCTTTATTACAAGAAGCTTGTAACCCAAAGCAGTCCTGTTTCCTTGAATGCTAGTGACCAAAACCATCCAATACCACCCCCATTTCCTTTCCTCCCCACCCTAAGTTATTTTTGTCAAAATTGAATGCAAAACATGAAATAGCACTGAAACCAAGAGCAGCTGTGCAAACACCTGCAACAGCTCTCTCAGTATAAAATTTCAGTTTCTTCTGTCTCTCCCAAGTGTTTCTAATATTGTGATGTTGGAACTAATGGATGTGGACAACAAAGAGCCCTGCTGTGATATTTGAAATCCTCTCTGTGAAGTTCACTTGATGCTCCAGAATATCCTGTGGTAACACGGAATCTGCACCTTTCTCACCCCGCGTCTGTCTCACCCCCACCTCCCCTCCGACTGAGCACTCTGGCTGGCATTACTGGCCACCAGGGTGACACCACCGTGCCTTTATTCAGACTTCAAGCTCCTGCCACCCACCTTCCTTATTGAGGGTGAAGGTTTTGCTCTAGCAGCTCTGGCCCTCACACAAACCCCTCTACCACATCCGGAAGCTGCTACAGCATCCAGCTACAGACACCGTGCAAGTGCTGCTCATCAGTGCACTGGGGCAGGATGAGACACTGAGGGTCCTCAACTTAAGTTCTGCAAGGCCCAGATACTCCCCCCTCCCCACTGAGACCTAAAGCAATACAGGGTCAGTGAGCTGTGCTGCATTTTAATTGCACCAATACAGTTAAATATTAAATGGAGAAAGCAACTCTACATGGCAAATGGAAAACAAGCATTTACATAGTAAAGCTGTAAGATGTAGAGACTATTAAAGTTTTACCCCAGTTGTCTATACATGAACATCCCACTGCAGTTTTTGGTGTTAAAATTTTAAATGTAAAACAAAATTAACATTTTCAGGTTCATACAGAATTAGCAAGTTATTGAGAAACAAAAGTTTCCTCCCTCATAAGCCAACACTGATGGGGGGGTCAGGGCAGGACACCCTATGTTTTTTCATACCATCACTCCATCTACTAGCATAGGTAGAAGAGAGCAACACTTTTCTGAATACATTTGAGTTTCCCCACACACACCCCAAAGGGGTATATGCTGGTATCTGCCAGGACAGTTACCCAAGGGGAGTTAACACTACCAAGTTAGACACTGATGAGCTGGGGAAAGAGTTCACTAGCAAAGCTATCCTCCCACACGTGGTCAGTGCCAAGTGGCGAGGACATGTCACTGAAGGGAGACAGGGATCCTTCATACCCAGAGTCACTACAGGCATCCAACAAGTAGTTTGAGGCTTCAAGGCTATGATGAGAAGAAAGCAGATGAGAAATGCCCAGTTCAGGCATGAAGCTGTCTACAGGTTCCTCCTTCACAGACACTGGGACCTCAGGGATAGCCTTGTCTTCAGATGAAGAGAGAGATTCTTTCTCAATTTTCACTAGCATATTGGTTTGGTTGCTCGCTTCAACAGGAATCTCCAGTATTAGGGGCTTTGTATACACATGATCAAACCTTATCAGTTCATTAATGGCCTCCAGCTTAGCTGATGGGGACCCCAAAGGAGGAGAGAGGGAGGTTGGTATGGGATTTGTTTCTCCAGAGAACTCTTCCTCCAGCTTTTCCAGGCACGTTGACTCTGACTCAGCACATCTGAGAAACATCTCTGGGTCCAGACTGTCCAGAAAGCCCAACAGGAGATCAGGCTGCAGAAGGAAATACTATTTTAGAAAGACAGCCTATTTCTGTTACAGCAAAACACCAGCTGTGGCATCTATTAACCCTCGTCTGGAAGTTAAAATACGCTAAACACAATCACAGTTGTTTTACCAATAACACCTTCAAACACACAGTTAAGGCAGTTAGTTATCTTTCAGAAATTCAGAATCCATCAGTTTGGAACAGACCACAGTAGGTTATCTGGTCCAACATCCCTGCTCAAGCAGGGTCACTGTAGAGCACATTGCACAGGATTTCATCCAGCCAGTTCTTGAATATCTCCAGTGAGGGAGACTCCACAACCTCTCTGGGCAATGTGTGACTGTGCAGTCATTCTCTGTCCATTAACTTTTTTGTAAGGATACTGGCAATCCCCACAGAATTCTACACGTATTTGAGATTCTCAGCCGCTACTGGAAACTCTTTTGAGATTGTGGACACAGCAAGTGCTGCTACCACCACAGTGCCTGCTGGCTACACGGAGCACGGACCAGAACCCGGCTTAGTCAGACCTGCCTGTGACCAAAGTTCAGAGGGCTGGGCTGGTGGGGCTTTTCTGAGTTTTGTTTAACTCCTGTACTCACTAGATACAGCCTAACACAGCTGTTCTGAGCCACAGGTATGGCATTCCAAGACTTAGAAAACAAAAAAACTATGAAAAACCATAAAGTTATTTAATATCAAGAAATTAAAATACCAGTCTTAAATCCACAGTGGTTCTGAATTTCACGGGCAGTTTGCATTGGAATAGATGCTCACCTCAGAGTCTGAAGAGTCACTGCCATCAGAATCCACGTGGAAGCTATCAGAAATGGTGACTGCTGGGCCTGCACCTGCTGCAGAGGAACACGTAGTCTGAGTGCTGCGGACTCAGCGGACCCGGTCACCAATCTAATCTCATCCACCTGTGATTCCTTCACAACCTGTGCCAAGGAAAAAACCCAGTCACCACAAGTGTTCTAGCAAGCAGTACAGCACACAGTCCTGAAGACCACGTTTTTCCTGCAAAGGCTTCCAACATGAGATTCTCCACTTGCTTATGCTGTAGCAACCCAAAGGTAAGACCCCTTCCCAAATTAGCTGAAGCTTCCATACACTTGCAGATTTATTTTGTTTGCCACTTTTAAACGAGAGCCTGACCCCCTTCCCCCTAACACTATTCTTTTGGGACAGGCCTATGTGATTGTAACAGTTTTTACTTCACTTCTATAAGGAACTGCATTAGAGCAGGTGAAATTATCTCAGAACAGCTTGGAACTAGTCACCTCGGTGTTTCCCACACTACCGACTCAGTACCTATTCGGTTTCAGGAGAACCTCCGTTTGGAGGACAGGGTTGTTTCTGGCACATCCCCGTTCACAGCACCGGGGTCACCCCGGGGGCGGGGCAGTTCTCGGTGTACTCTGCTCAGGGCGGCGGGGGCCACGCCAGCAGCGCGGCGGGCGACTCACCTGCGACTCACCAACCTCGCCCTCCTCCTCCTCCGTCTTCAGAGCATCTAAACCCAGGCGGCAGCGGAGCTCCTGGTTCTCCAGCGCAAGGTTACACGTCCTCTCCCGCAGGAGCTGGTTTTCCAGCAGCAGCTTCTGGTTCTGGAGAGAGCCGTGAGGCAGGGAGGCCGCCCCTCGCCCCCTCATCCCCTCCTCCTCCATCCCCTCACCTCCTCCAGCCCCTCACCTCCTCCTCCAGCTCCACCACCTGCTGCTCCAGCTCCGTCATCCGCGCCTTCTTCCTGTCGCGGGCGCTCTGGGCCGCCACGCGGTTCTTCAGCTTCCTGCGGGACAGGGCGACCGTCAGTAGGGAAATAGGGAAGCGGGGAAGCCGTGTCACCCCCGCCGCTGCCCACTCACCTGCGCAGCGCCTTCTCCTCCGGGCTCAGGTGCGTGAGCCGCTGCCGCTTGCGGGCCGGCTGCGGACCCTCCAGCCCCGCGAGGCCGGGGTCGGCTCCCGCCGGCAGGACAACGGAAAGATGCCGGCCAGGGGCCTCGGGCGCTTTGCTGGGGATGAGGAGCAGGCGGGGGGCCGCGGGCAGCGCTGCCATGGCGGGTGCGGGAGGGACGCGCTGCCCGGCGCCCCCAGCGCGGCCGTCTGCGCCCCGCGCCGCCCCGCCCGCATTTCTACCGTCGTGGCTCTCGCTCATTGGCCCGCACGGCGTGACGCTCCGTCCGAGCGAGCTCGTGATTGGCCGGCAGCCGAGAGCAAGGGGGAAAGCGAATTGCATCAGACGCGGGGGCTGCGGCGGGGGGGGGCGGCGCCGGCGCGCGGCGAGGGGCGGGGCCGACCGTGAGGGGCCGTGAGGGGCCGTGAGGGGCAGCCCGCCATGGTCGGCCTGGGGCGGGCGCTGCCCCCTGAAGCTGAGCAGGGCTTTGGGGAGGCAGCGAGCAGGGTCTGGCGTGGGGGTGCAGCTGAAGCCTCTTTGTAGTCCCCTTCCTGCGGCCGGTCTGCCACAAGCAGAATCGTGGGGAACACAAGTGCCAAGAACGGAGCATCAGCAGATGCCACGAGAACGGGCTAAAAATGGGCTAAAAGGAACAAAAAAGCAGAGGGGTTAGTGATTGATGAGTCAGAAGTTGCAGGAGAGAGTGCAGAAATCCCCCAGGGCCGTGGCACCGCTGCCCCCAGCCTGTCCTGCAGCAGGGCTGCGTGGGGAGGGGAGCGGGCTGTTCTGTGGGGTCCGACGGGGGTCACCACCCTGCCCTGACGGGCTGGTGTCACAGCTGATGGATCTTGGGTCCAGACAAGTGGAAGTTTTGTAGGTAGAAAGCCTCAAAATACTCTGCCTACGGGAATGCAGGTGTTCAGCAACCTGCCCACAGCAGCACACAAGCACGCAGGGCATCGGGGGGGTTGGAAGTGTTGACCTTAGCTCGGTGACCAAAGCTTTCCAAGTTTCCACTTGCGACAGTTGCCAATGACCTGAGTAGTTATGAAATGTTGAGACTTTGTCTGCTTATGTTTATTTTTGAAATCCATTTGTACATTGAATTTAAATAAGTTGTTAAACAGTAAAGGAAAAACATAAGCTTTAGAAGTTCAAAGGCACTGGTGTGCTGGTTTGGCATTACTCCAGCACTGGAGTTCTGCCAGGCTTTCATGATCCAGAGAACAAACTGCATTTGTAAGCTTGTGTTTGTTCTTTCCTTACTCACTGCAGCATGACATTGAGCTAAGGCTGAGAATTCACCTTTCTACTTTGACACCTTTGTGAAAAATACGGCAACTTTTCGATAAGGCTTTTAATCTGAGTGCAAAAAAGTTGTTTGTTCTGGTCTCACTAAGCCCCTTAGATACCGATCATTGAAAACTATCTGCTTTTCTTTTGCGTCTCTCTACTGGGCTTTGGCTCACGTTTCTTCTGTAATTCTAATTCACAATTAAAAACTTTACTGTTTTCTAGCAAAATGCAGGTCCAATATTAATAACCTTTTCAGATTTCAGGCATTTGTTTCAAATTGCCCTTTTGTGCAACAGAAATATCGAACAGACTGCCTCGCGTTGCTGATTTGTGATATCTATACCCGGGAGACTAGTCATGATATGAGTTGTCATATAGATATCCAGATTTCGTAGCATTATGGCTGAAAAAAGATCCTAACTTTCTGTCTACTTGTGATTTAATTTTCCTATTTAATTTTATAGGGAGCCAGAGCAGAAGCATCTGTTTCCTTTTGCAACAAATACTTGTGATCATGAATAAACTCCAGAAGTACAGGGACATACGTGCCAGTAGTGGTGCCTTAAATGCTTTACCATGATGTGTGACCAGGCACAAAAGTGGAAGCTGCCCTTGGTACTGGTAGTGTCCATTCTTACTGAATATAAGAACGATATCCATTAGGATTTCTAGTGTTGGCAGTAATAGCTGACAAAAGAAGGGCATGACATCCTGCAGTCTGGTCCTGTTGAACAGTTTTAGTAGCACTGCTAAGAGTAGGTGTGGTGTAGTTGCTGAGAATACATATAGGGTCACAAATACCATGTTACTATCATTAGGAGACATAAAGTCTTTTGTTAAATATATGGTTAAGTCACCAGGGAAAAGAGTGCAAAAAAAAAGTTCAGTAAATCTAGTGTTGCACTGTGACACCCTTTCAGAGAGTTTTACTTAAAAGACTTCAAGTTTAATTCTAATTTCTACTTTTTTCCCCCACACTTACTGTTTACACATTCCAGTCTTTGTATTTTTTCTGGTTTTCAGTCATTGGATTCAATCCTGTGATCCACATGACTCAAGAATGCTTCTCACTCTGCCTTTCACCCCACTGGGGGTGCATCACTACCACCGAGGATGTGCCAACAGGATACTGTTGGCTGTCCTGCCAGAAACCACATTAATTCCTGCTAACATAGGTTTATGTTCTATGTTCCAGGTGGCCAACCCACCAGAGGAAATAGTTTTGTTTAACAAAGGTGGAGAGGCTTTGCCCTTGTGCAATATCACATACAGAGAAAGAAACGTGTTGAATGTTATCTATGTATGAAAAAAGGGGGAATAGAAGAGGGAAATAAAATGGAAGAAGGGGGTGTAGAGAAAAGATTAAGTGACAGTCATAGTCTGAGAAAGAGCTTGTTTGTTGAATATGTCTGAAAACACTTGGAAAGTGGCCTGGGGCCCCAAGCTTGTGACAACAGCTGGAATATTCCCAGATTTGTATCAATAGCTGATTAAATGAGAGGGGGAGCTGTTTTGCAGCCTAAAATGGGGTTATTCCAAACCTGTAAATTATTTCATTCATTACACATTGGGATTCTGGAGTATGTCTTTCAAAGTCTTAGTGCTCTTAATTTCAGGGAATATGCAGAATCTGTATCCTCTGCCTACTGCATGGGAGCTGCCACCCAGTCTGCATGCAGCTGGAAGTGACGTTGGCTGTGCCTTCTCTTAACGCTGCTGCAAGCAAGTCCTTCAGAAAGGTGATACTTTGTTCAGCTGTCATCCCTTCTCCATTAATACTTGTTATTGAGATTCTGCCTCATTGGCCTCTGTGATTGTTCCCATTAGAATAGTGTGGCAAAGACCCAGTGAATCCAACTTTATACCCTGACTATCCTGCAAACATCTTACAAATGTGTACCTTGTATTCCAGTTCTTTGTCCTCATATTCCACCCACATACATTACTGGTACCTGCTACTACCCAGAATTTCAAGGAATGGTGGGTAGGTCTGCCTGAGTTCCGTCTTACATCTGTGTTGGTGGGCCACAGGCACAGGCTGGAGATTCTCACTTTGATCATCTTTATGGTTCACTTCTCTGACCCAGCTGATTGTTTGGTGAGGGAGAGATCCTGTCACACCTGTACCTCAAGTGTCTCCTGTTACAACTCTTCCTCTAAAACCTTTAGACCTCCATGCTGGAGTTCTGTCTGTATTTTCCCCACAGTAGTGTCCCAGGCACTACAGGCAGCATCAGTTGACTCGGGCAGCGTGTATCTTGTGACAGAGCTCACATGCACTCCTTGTAGGGAGTTCTGTCTCTCCATGCCAATAGAATTAGTTGTGCCATCACCGTAGTCCGTGAAGCCTTGCTGCTGATTCACAAGCCAAGTCTGAGTTAACTAAGATAATGCTGGCAGTGTTTCTGGAACAAAGATATTCTTCAAGTCAACTAGATGTTGGGCCTTTCATAAGGTTTTTTTTCAGGAAAAAGGTCTCCCTTCACTGCCACTGGAGTGTCCAGCAGCCACAGGCACTGAAGCTCACCTTGGAGCTTCTCTGGGCAGTTCAGTACCGTTGCCTGCATTCAAAGAGGTTTTGCCCTATTCCAGGTCTAATGGTAGCTTTGTAGTAATAAAGTTCATGCAGTACCTCATAAAAAAGGCAGATGGGAAGCACACTTCCTAAAGCCCAGTTGCAGATGCATGTATAGCAACTGATTAACTTAATTATTAGAAAATGTGAAGTTCCATTGTGGCCCTCTACTTTAGTGACCTCTCCGCATCACAGAATTTTTGGCAATAAAATCATCTCATGTTTCGTGGCTTATAATATTTTGTGCCTGTAATTCCTTTTTTTACTGTTGCAGAATACATAATAGCAGATTTTTCTTGAAACAGTCTAATGATATATTATCTCTTTTTGGAGTGATAACAGTAAATTTAAGCTCAAGCAACCTATATAAAGAGCTCAGTGTTCCTTGCATCCCCATGATGTCTTTTCTTCCCTGATTTTCACTTGCACTGTAATTCCAGTTTGCTTCATTTTGTTAGACTCCTCCAAAACTCAAGAACTCACTGGTCCCAAGAAAGACCAGAAATTAACTAACATATGTGATTTTGTAGCAGTTGCAATTTTTTACCAATTTATTACTTTTTCCAGAAAACTGACATGAAACAGCAGATGTCTCAGTGTAGAAGCAGCTTCCTAATCCCCCTCCCACTGTCACGGAATGCTGATTATAAAGGGAAAGTGTACCTGCTTACAAGGACATTGCCATGTTTGAGATAAAGATCTCTTGATTTTATTTGTTCTGTCAGACAGAGAACTAAATTTCTCTTGCACGTTCAGAGCTTGGAGCACACCACTCACGGCAATTTAAAAGAAGACAAGATATCCACGCCCCAGCAAATGGAAAGGCTTGGCAACCCTGCACTACCAGTTCTGTAAAAGTGAAATGTTACGGGAAGTCTCTGCAAACATTGGTCCTGTAAACAGATCTTTATCCGTAGTGACCGGATGCCCTTGGGAAGATTTACGCCATTGCCAGTCCCTGAGACTCCACCTGGGAATCAAACAGCATTGGGTCAGCTGGTCAGGGAAATGGGCTCGGGTCAGGGAATCTGTTTGGTGGGCACCACAGCTGGTTGATCTTTGGAGGAATCCCACAGGTCAAGGGAGGTTGTGGTTGTTCGTTGTCATTGAGGCTTTGCTTGGTTGTTCTGGCTTCTGCTTCCAATCAACTTGCTTAATATTTGAGCCCATCCCCTTCCCACACCATTCCTCTATCCTTGACTCTACTTCATTGCATGGATTCCCTTTCCCTTTAAAAGGTCAACCTCTTGTCATCTCTGGTGCTTGGCTGTGGTTTGTCTGATTGTAATACCTATTTGCACTACATACTTTAGCTCTTTGACTCTTCTCTTTCTAGCTTGGTCCCAAGCACAGTGTTCCCCTGCAAAGTTCTCTCCTCATGCTGGCAGGAAAACATGGACCAGAGGGTTGTGCAGATTATGCAGGATTTGAAGGTTCTGGAAGATGCCACAAGAGTTGTACATGGAGAGGTGGTGTGCTCACCTGCATATACTGATGCATGGTGATACACTAGAGGTGTTAGTGACAAGTCAAAGACAAAAGACAAAGGTGCTACAGCGATGCAGCGAGTGCATCACTGTGGGTGTTGCTGTACAATATGCTTGGACAGTACAGGAGAGACTGAGCTTGGTGCTGTGCTGTGCCAGGGAACCCAACAGCACTGTCCTGGGTTCTCAGTCAGTGTTTCACATGATGAATAAGCTCTCTGAGGAAAACAGGTAACTTGACATCTCACATGCCTAAAAACTCCTGTTCCAGTCGGTTTTTTCAGTTTGCACGTCCTGGTTCAGAAGTTGGGAAATACTCTGGGAGGTCAACAACCGTGCTTATGAAAACTTGATGGCTACTTCCTGTTGGCAGAAGCTCTTCTTTGGAGCAGTGCCAGCGTTTGAAAGGTAAAACCTTTTCTTATTTCTTAATCATTCCCTAAGCTTTGAAATCCCTTTAGAAATTGAGAGCCCCTGAGAGTCTTGGAAACTCTCGTCTTGTAATTTTGAGGTTATTTCCTTATATTCTTCCATTTGGGTGCCTTTTGTACACAGAAGCCTGCCTCCAGCTGTCACAAAACCCTGTGTGAAAAGAGGAAATTATCAGGAAATGGTCAAGTTAGGAATTAGTTCTGTCTCAGCACAGGTTCAGCAGGACCCAAAATGTGGGGGTATTGTCAGAATCATCTGTTTCCTACTTTGTACAGTTTCAACTTTCTGACTGCTCAGAGGGCACAGGGTAGCTGCTGGTGTTAGAGAGGGACAAGTCTATCATGCTTTCTTTCTGATAGCCTCACTGATTTGCTCTGTTAGCACTGACTTTAATGATAACACTTTTGTAAGTGAACAGGGACAGTTAAAGCCCTTTATATACTAATTAAATAGATCACATGCTAGTACTTAAATGTGGGAAAATGAGTGTTTTGAGGTGATTAATTAAAAGTGCCAGATCTTGTAACTTAGGTGAGTCTTTCATGTAATAGATAACCCAAGATGAAATAGAGTAAGTAGTTGCTTAACTTACCGTAGCATGAATGAATCCATTGTTAACATACTAATTCCTTCATTTTAGCCAGTCACCTTTTAAGAATGTTTTTTTTTTGCTTTTGGTAGTCAGAAGTGGTGAAATCTATTTGTTGGCTTTAACAGAGGGTTCTTCATATTGTGATTAGTATCTATGGTTGATACACTATACACCTTAACCATGTGCTTCAGATTTATTCCGTGGTGTTTCTATATTGTTCACTTTATATAATGCATTGCTTGAAGCAGGGCTTCATGAACAGCAGCTTGTACCATATATTTACTCCAGAAACACTAATAACAATGTTGAATTGAATACAGAAGTGTCAATATTTAGATTGTATGTAAATGTGTTTCTGTGAAATATGCAGGGTGTGTTATATTTACATGTTATTTACATTGGATGCTTCAATATTGTGAGAGAAGAAACTCCTAAGCACTGACATAACGAACACATAAAATTAACAGTAATCTAGCATTTAGTGTGATTGTAACTGGAAGTGATGGAGCTGATACAGAGTAACCTTAGGGGCACAAGGGACACACGAGCATAGTCAGAGACTTTCAATGGATGCATTTAGGGCACTTCTTGCAGAATGGATACTGAGAATCTTGGAAAATATGGATCCAGATTTTTTCCAAATCCATTCTGTTCCTATCAGTCCTTGCAGAGATTTTAAATTGATCAAACAGCATGTAGCAATAATTTCTTAAGTTTATTTCATAGTATTCTTTTTTCTTCTTTTGGTAACATGATCTGCTGTGCCTGCCTGCCTGGTGAGGACCCTGAAGGAAAACACCAGCCGTGGCTGTACTGTCTTGCAACTCTTGTGTGAACTTGTACTGTACATTGGGCAATAGTCTGCAAAAAGAAAAGGCTGCATTTATCTAAATAAAGGTATTTTTAGTACAATTTACATATTTCAGTTTTACAGGCCCGATTCATTATTATTTTTGGCCTTCAGGAGACAATAACATGTACAGAGAGAGTGAAGGGTTCCCAAATCAGCATGTTTCCCCTTCTTACAGATTTAAAAGACTACATGTTGTTTAAGACATTAGAAACCTTAACTTTTCAAACATTAACAGGGAATTTTGTTCACACATAATTTTTATAACTAAAATTGTCATGGCTAGTCAGTTGTTTAATTTGGATTGCTTTGATGCTGATTTACTTGGATGAACTGTGTTTCCAAAATTTAAATAGCAAGAGGCAAAGCCATAGTTGCATGGCATATTTTTCTTAACGTAAGACTGACTTATGTCTTCACTGACTTTTCTTTTTGGTCTTTAATTAATCTGAAAATTTACAATAGTTTGTTACTTTAATTTAGAATAATTGATGATAATAATGAAAGCGTTGTTTTCATAAATACATAAACATTTTGTCCATTGCAGCGGTCTTTCTGTTCCAAGCTGCAATAGTGAATTGTGCCTGGATGAAGGCACAAGGCTGCGGGAGACACCTTTAACCCCAGCTCCTGGCTCTGGAGACACCCTTATCCCGGGTCGTGCCCCCGCGGGAGCCCCGCGCCCGTCCCGCAGCGCCGCGGTGCTCGGGGGACACCTGGTGGCGTCTGCGCCGCAGCGCGCCCGGCCCCGCCCCGCACAGGCCCCGCACGCCCCTGGGCTCGGCGTAGGAACTGCTGGTGCTGCTTCGCAATGGAACCCCATCCAGCACGCGGGTGTGTCCGAGTAAAGCTCTCAGTCAGCCCTGAGACTCTGTGCTGCCCAATCCTGTCTGAGAGGAACAGGGCAAGCATGTACATGGCCTTGAATTTATTGGAAAGAGGACAGCTCTTGTTCCTATTGCTTATTAAGATGTATAGGAATATAATTCGCTTATGAAATAAGCTCTGCAGAGCACGATATTAAAACATGTAGGGAACATGGGCAGTAGTCCGAGTTATCGACTCGGCTGGTTCCTGAAACCACCTGGACAGTCAGATGTGGGAGTGTGAATGAGACAGATGGCTCTTCTTATCCTTTCTGTAGTCACCTGGTCTGCTATCATAGAATCCTAGAATCATAGAATTAACTGGGTTGGAAGAGACCTCCGAGATCATCAAGTCCAACTCTTGGTCCAACCCCACTGTGATGACTGGATCATGGCACTCAGTGCCACATCCAGCCTCATCTTAAAAACCTGCAGGGATGGTGAATCCACCACCTCTCTGGGCAGGCCATTCCAGTGCCTGATCACTCTCTCTGTAAAGAACTTCTTTCTAATATCCAACCTAAACCTCCCCTAGCAGAGCTGAAGCCTGTGCCCTCTTGTCCTATGAGGACTCCTCAGAGACAGTTTGCTGTAAAAGGAAGATTCTCAGCTTTGATTTAGTAGATGCTTTAATGAAAAACTCTGTTCATTAAAACCTCATTCTTGTCGTGCAGAACTCTGGAATGAGGTTGCTTCTCATACCCATTTAGAGCCAGTATATGTGTCCCTATGCTGTGCAGGGCAATGAGGGTACATCCTAAATCCCTCTATGATGTTCTTTAATGTATACAAGGGGACCTCTGACACACCACCTGCTTCTTAAACTTGAGTGTCATAACAGCCCAGAATTCCAAGGCAAATGCTAAATAAATAATTTTTTTTGTAATGTAGGAGGAAGATGTCGAGTCAGGTAGTTTACAATTATACAATGGGACACTTTTTCCTTCACTTCAGTTTGACTGAAGCAAAAGACAGACACTTCTTCCTTTAGGTGGAACAAATACAAGTAGAACTATATGAACACAAATTGGCTTCAAAGGGAAATTGCTAAGTCTCTATTAAAACAAACAGTTTTAACAGTCATAAACGATTATAAAGAATACTTAGAATACTTTGAATGTTTTTTAAACAGGAGTTATCAACAAATCTACTGGTACTATCCAGACTTCCTGATTTTGGTGGTGTTTAAAATATAACAGTTTATTTTAGTTCTTACATTTTAATCCCAGTGTAGTGGCATGTCTCTTCCTGATTAGTCAGTGATGTGTTTCTCAGTTTCTCTTCTGTCTCTTATTTCTCACCTTGACTTTGAGTTTTAAAGGGAAGACAGTGTCTGAAGCATGTGTGAACAAATGAATCCCCACGATCAAGGTGGCATGTGAATTGATGACGTGGAGGTGTTTGTGGTAACTGCCATGAAAACTGATAATATGCCCCAGCTTTCAGGACATGCTCTCAACATTGTTGTTTTAAATGAGGTAACTGGGCTGCCTGTGCAAGTTGTTTACTTTGTCATAGCTGCAGCCTGGAACTCTGATTATTTTCCAACTTAACTTGAAGATGTATCCACTTGTATATAACCCTTTTTGTGTTCATTGTGTCAGTGCTCAGCTCTTTCAGCATCTTATGTAGTATTATTGGTACCTGAGCACTTTAGCTGGAATTCCCTCGGTGACTTGTCACTTGATCCTTTGTGTTGGGTGACAATCTTTCCCGGACATTATGCCTGTTCACCCACCTACCACTCCTCCTGGGTATGATCACAACCTTCCTACTGCATAGAAAAGCCTGATGATGTGTTTGTGACTATCAAAGATGAGAGAAAGGTCTGAGATGTTTTGTGGTCATTGACAAATTTTTAATTGCCTTTATAGAATAGATAGGAGGATGAGAAGTAATTGTGTAAAATCTGAATGAATCTGTGAAGTGCTGGAGGAATAAACTGCTGTCCTTTCCATCAGCACTTCCACAGTGGTGAGAACTGATAGAAACCAGTTTTTCCAGGAATAGATTTTTTGTTCATCTGTTTTCATTGTCAAGAAGAAAATGATTGATCTACTGAAATATGATCCAATGTTTTCAGATAGTGTTTATTCCTAGGCACAGTTCCCATTTGCCATTGTATGTTCAGAACACTTTTGTTAATTGGAGACAACGGTGGTGGTTTGTTGGGGGGTTTTTGTTGTTGTTTGGGGCTTTTTTTGGGGGGAGGGCGTGCTGGTGTTTGTGTTTGTTTGAGCTTGGGTTTTTTTAGTGTTTTATGTGGCAGCTTGTGAAATATCTGGTAGTAAAAGCGAAAAACAGTCTCAGTGCTGTGTGAGTGCAGTGTTATCTGCAACTACTCCCAGCCGAGCTCCGGACAGGTCCTCGCTCACCAGAGGGGGGAGTTGGGCACTGGGCTCTGCAGCTGAGGGGTGCCCTCCTCACTCTTGTAAGAGGATCTCCCATTGAAATGGAGCCACAATCTAGTGCTACCAGATCTCTTCTTATGATAAAACATAGGAGCAAGAATCACCTTTTCTTACTATTTAACACATCTGAGCAGCCCCTTTTAAGAGATTTTCATTTTTCTTTACAAAGTGGACGAGAGATGAAATATACTGCAAACAAGGTCTGTCAATACTGGAGACGATCTCAGTCAAATAGAACTTCAACATTCACAGTAACTGAAATACTTTTAATCCATGCTCATTGGTTAGTTTCTTTATTTCTTTGAAAAAGGGTCATATTTGTTATGCTAGAAACTTAGACAATATATCGGGGTAAAAAAAGTTTCTCAGAAAATCCTCTTTATCACTGGCTGAAAGTTCAGTAAGACTTTTGGGTTCTGATATTGCTGTACTTACTGCAAAGTGAATCATCAGAATCTGAGAGCGCTGTAGATCATCAGGAGGGTGGGTTTTGGTGTTGTCTCTTAAGAAAATACCTAACTGAAGATGTCATCTGCTCTTTGCTATCCTAACTGATACTGGGTTTTGGGGAGGCTCCCTCCGTACTGGAGGACAAACAAGTTAGTGCTAAAGCAGCAGAGCTAAAGATACTTTGTTTCCAATATATATGTTAAGATCTCTGAGCTCCTGTCCTTATCACCTCCCTTCAATAACCTGAGTTCCTCTTCCCTTCCTTTCGCATTCCGTAAGCATCCTGATCAAGCAAGAGCCAACAAATGCTGTAACTAATCTGCTGCTGCACTTAGGTTTTTTCTAGCTACTGCCATGCAGAGTGTGCAACAGCTGAACTCCACCGACCTCTGCCCCCCTCACCGAGGGACACGGTTCTGTACCAGCATTTACATGCACACACATTTACTTTATGTCCTTTCCTAGTGGTAACCCCTTAAAATGCAAGTACAGTTACAAAAGCTTCATGTTAATTAAAGAGGATGCAACTAGAATGGATTCTTTAATTTAAAAAAATGTAAAATCAACAACAGACTGTTCTTTGGACAGTAGAACTGAAAAAGTGCAGTTTCTTAAATGTTTTCCTGCTGCCCTAGCTTCCCCTGAGTCCTGCTTGGACACTCCTGCAGTACCCAGAGTCCAGAGCCTCCAATTTTCACAAAATTTTTCACTGTGCTATCTTAAAACCTCTCTTCTGCCCTTAAGTTTGGTCAAAATTAGCTAATAGGTTCAGAAGAGCAACAAGGCTGACAGGCAGATAGCATACGTTTAATTTAATTATGAAATTAGGCTAAAAGAGGCTCAAGAAGGGATTCTTCAGTGCTGTATTTGTGGTTGACTGCACAGATGTGACAGAAAGCAGCTTTCAGATACCTTCAGCCAAATGTATTTTCAATTAAAGGGAAGGCAGGACCGGGGAATTGGGTTCTTGCCTCCTTTAATGGTGAGAATGGCTGATGGACATGTTGCAAACAGCTACTTAATGTTGTTTTCTTTTTTCCTGATGTACAAGGCTATACTTCCTGTGCAATATTCCAGCTCAGCTCTCAGCACAAAATATTTAATTTTGGTTTGGGCTTTTTCTATAACATTCATCACAGTATTATGTGGGACCTTCACCAACTTTGTTTTATCTCGAGAGCAGAGGGAGAAAGGTTCTATAATATCCATTTCTTTGCAAGGGAAATGAGATGGAAGTTCAGTGTCAAAAGCATCCCCTAGTGTTGATTGCCCTCTTCTGAGATAGAATGATCAAATTGTTTAGTTTGGAAAAGACTTGTAAAACCATCAAGTCCAACCCTTCCCCTAGCACTGCTAAAGCACTAACTCAAGTTACATCAAGTTACAACCAAGTGCCACATTCACACATCTTTTAAATCCCCTCATGGATGGTGACTCCACCTCTACCCAGGGCAGCCTGTTAAAATATTCAAATGCTTGAAAAGCCTTTCCATGAAGAAATTTCCCCTGATATCCAATATAAACCTTCCCTGGTGTGACTTGAGGCTGTTTCCTCTGGTCCTGTCACTTGTTACTTCGAAGAAGAGACCGAGTGCCCAGGCCATGCTTTCTCAGACCACTTGGCACTGCACATCATTTCCTTATGTTCAAATCACAGCTCTCACTGTCCTCAGCTGCAGTTGTAAATGCTGGAGACTTCTGTATTTCAGACCCTGGGCCTCAGTTTGCTATTTAGGGGGGGAAAAAGGAAAACATATCGAAGTATTATGGCATAACTGAATTGTGAACTGTGTGCTGCCAACTGGGCAGGATGCCAATTAGAAATATTTGATGCTTTAATGATAGACAGCCCATTCTCTTCTTGCAACTTCCTGCTTGGATTTCTGCCCAAGTAGAGGGAACTTGGTGACCTGAGACCTAGTGCCACATGTTATTCCTCAGTATTTGACTGTGAGGCTGCGACAAGGCAATTTTGGTGTGTCTATAGCGATGATGGACAGTTTAGTGGAGTGAATCAGATCTTCAGCAACTCTTTTTTTTTTTTGGTGTAGGACGTTGTCCACTTTTTATATGGAGCCCTATTCCCATCTTTTTCAGTAGGTAGTTTCCAGATTTTGTTTGACCTGCCATTTCTGCATTCCCAACTCTCTGCCTAACTTGGAGAGGCTCTACCTCTATTCCATTTCCTAGGGAATATCTGAAAAGTACTGGTGATTCTGTTTCGTTATCAAGAGAGGTAGGAGTCTTATCTACAGCATTTTTTCACTATACTTAATTTACTTTTTTACAGTGGGATTCTCCTGTGAAGCAAGACCATGTTGGAAGAATGTGTCCATGTAACAGAAGAATTTCACAGTACATGTGAACAGGGGACAGGATTACTGCTGAATTGCCTAATTTGGATGATCCCCATTTTCTTGGTACTTAAATTTGAAACCTAATAATATGACACATGATTTTGAAAGGATAGAAAAAAAAGATAAAAGATAAACATGTAGCATTCATGGATGCTTCCTGAGGGGCATTTAAGTTTGATGAAATGAATCTTAGACAGTTGCCTGACATCTGAGCCCCTACACTGCCAAAGTAAATGGACATCTATTCCGTTGACCAGCAGGAAAGGACAAAACATTTTTGACTTTTCAGTTTCACAGCTAATTAGGAATCTCAGGTTCTTCACAGTTTTTGTAGAACTAAAACTGTGTGTTCCACAGACACTGAGCTCTTGTCACGATCTCTTAGAACACCTAGATTTCCAATTCCCATCTCCACTCCTAAGACTGCTCTTCCCAATACTATTTTAGCTTTCTGATTCAGTTTAAAAATCACATTCTCTACTTCATCCCTGCCCACCCCCTTTAGCCCTGGTCTCTTCCCTGATCCAGTTTGCCACACAGACCCACTAAAGTTACATGGACCTGATCATGGAGAAATTATAGAAGTGAAACAAGTGAGAAGGGACGAGCTCAAAACAGGCAAACTTCTGCCAAATGTGGCAAGTTGTACTCAGCAAAAAAGTTCCAGGTTGGCACATCCAGTGCTATGGCTGTCCTCAGGCTTTAACTGCCTGGGACAGTGGGGAGCATACACCATGAAGGGCAGTTGCTACAAGCTGCACAACAGTGTTCTACTGGAAGACATTCTCCAAGGGGCACCATTCATTCATCACCTTTGTGAGACATTTGCACACCCCATTGTCCTCTGACACAAAAAATTCCAACTCTCCTTACTGCCTGATGACACATCCACTGAGCATGGGGCAGTTGGAAGGCCCTGACCTGCAACAACTTAGGACATAAGTGTTTACCTTTGCCAACAGAACATTAAAAAATCTTGATGACAGCATCTTAAGGACCTTTGCAAGAACAAAAATACTCCATGAAAACAGGTATCCTGAATCTGGCATGCAAGGCATAAAAAGCTGTCAATGACTGGAAACGAGTTTTCTGGCCTCTTCTGGAAGGGATGAGAAGACAGCAGGTTAAAAAGTCTGGATATCATTTGCCTAAACCACTAAAGTTCATGAAGGAAGAGAGAGAATTAAAAGAATGTCAAGAGACTTTCTACTTATGGCACATGCATAGTGCAGATGAACAGTTACCATCTCATCATCACAACAAGCAGCCCCTGCATACGTCTCTGATTTTGCTATAGATTGTGAAATGATTTAGCTGACTCAGCAGGGAGAAAATCTGCTGGAGTTCTCCATGTTTAAGCTGTTCCTGAGTTCCTTGTGATGCAGCAAATTGTGTGTTGACTAAGTGTCAGCCATTTGCCTCATGGGTGAAGGAAAATCAAGCAGAGGTAGTTTGCACTTAAGGAATTAAAATGCTTTTATTTAGTACACTAGATGCTATGCATTTCTGAAATCCTACTGAATCATACCTATAATCTATAATTCACACCTGTTGACATTTAAAATTGCATAGTGCATCCTCTGTTGTTACCATGACAGAGCACCACAGTGATGTCCCTTTCAGCTCCCTTTCTAAGCAAGCCATGATTTTGCAGCCTTTGATCCACTTTACCATATTAGGTTTGTGGGGGGGTTGTTTTGCAGTTTGCGGTAGAAGCCCAGTGTGTGTTCCTGTGATCCCTTCTTGACCTTCTGCCACTGAAGAAATCTTCCATGATTTGTTAAGCTTATGTTGCTCACTGTGTCACGCTAAGGATGCCACTCTCTTGTCTTCAGCTGTAACAAAGTATATTTAGGAAAAAAGCTGGCCATTTGTAGACTACGTGTTATTCCTTCTGCCAGTGAGTTAGGGCTGGACTTTGTTTCCAGACTTTGTATTTCATAGCCAACAAGGGATCTCGGGTTAGTTTGTCTAATCCTCCTTGTAAGTTATATTTAGGCTCTGTAACATCATGTATTAATAATTCTACGACTTAGCTGTACATGCTTTTAATGGAAAACTGTATCATTGGCCGCTATCCAGTTCTTGTGCGAGACTGAAACAAAAATCATTACCCATACACCTTTTCCCCATCATTGATGGATGTTCTACAGACTTGCATTAACAGCCAAGTCAAAGAGCCAGGGTTACCCAGCCTCCCCAAACTCAATTTCAGGGGACTGGGAATCAGGGGGCCGATCAGCCAGTCCTGCCCTACACACAAACGAGGAGCCCGCTGGATGCCGGCTGCAAACAGCAGGCACATCCCTCAACGCAGAGATGCCTCTGCGGAGGATCGGTGCCCGTGCTACGTGTGGTGACAGAGCACTGCTCCGGCCGCCGGGGCACGTCCTCCCGGGCCGTACCCCCGGCGGGGCTGCCCCTCGCAGCCGCCGCGCCCGGGCTCTGTTCCTAACGCACCCGGGCATGGCCGGCGGCCGCGGGCCGCGATAGCGCCTGGAAGGGGCCCGGCCCCCCTCTCCGGCCCCCGGCCCGCGGCTGGAGAGCGCGGGAGCCCCGGCACCGGCGGGCAGAGCGCCGGCGGACGCGGGCCCGGGCGGTCGCCACAGGCCGCCGGGGCAGCCCGGCCCGGCCCTGCAGGCCCGGCCGCGTGGGAGGCCGATCCCGGCAGGGCCTTCCCGAGAGCCGCCTGCTGTCGGATCCTTGCGGGCCCGGGCCGGGTCGGACCGGCCGCAGCCGCGGGTGCCGCTCCGCTCGGGCGGGCCCGGCTCGGCTGCGGACCGTGTGTGCACGGCGGGAGGGACGGAGCGGGTCAGCGCGGCGCGGAGGGCGGGGATAACCCCGCGGTGGCCGTCACGTGGAACAGATGAAAGGGAAGCGGCTTGGCAGGGCGGAGAGGAGCCGGGGCGAGGGACGAGGAGTGCGGGGCGGGCGGCGGCGAGGAGCGGGGCGCAGCGCGGCGGGAGGGCCGCTGCCATGGGGCGCTGACCCGCCCGGGACCCCGGCCCGGGAGCTGGAGCCGCTCGGGAGCGATGCGCGGCGGCGGGGCGCCGCTTCCTCCCGCCGCGCGATGAGGGGCTGCGGGGCCGGCGCGAGGCTGCCCGTGCCGCCGCTGCCGCTGCTGCTGCTCGGGGTGGCGTTGGCCGCGGCGCCGGGCGCGGCGCTGGGCAAGGAGACGGCGTTCGTGGAGGTGGTGCTCTTCGAGTCCAGCCCCAGCGGCGACTACACCACCTACACCACGGGGCTGCAGGGCCGCTTCTCCCGCGCGGGGGCCACGCTGAGCGCCGAGGGCGAGATCGTGCAGGTGAGCGCGGCCGGGGGGCGCCGCCTGCCCCAAGATGGCTCCGCGGGCCCGGCACCTGCGGCACAAAGCGCGGCCGGGCCCGCCGCCCCACGTGCGCCGCGCGGCCCGGGGACGCGGTGACAGATGCGCGCCCGCGCACAAAGGCCCCGCGCCGGCCCCGGCTTGCGCGGCCGCCCCGCGTTGACAGCCGGGCGCGCCGCGCCGTCTCTCCGCGGCGGGGGCGGGCGGAGCCGGGGGCCGCCGTCGGCGCGCCTGGGGCTCCGCTGCGCTCCGCTCGCCCCTCCGCCGGGCGCGATGCCGGCGGGCGGGCGGGGGCGGTGCCGCGCCGGGCGGCCTTTGCCGGTCCCCTTTCGGTGCGTGGCCGCGGCTCTGCGGGGCTGCCCCGCTCCGGGGGCGGCCGGGCCGGGGGGGCCCGGTCCGAAAGCCCCGCGGCAGCGGTTGGGTGCTGCGCGCTCGGGCTGTGCCGGCCGGTGCCCGCTCCGCGGACCCGGTGCTGCTGCGCTCGGGGCTCCCTCGAAGCCGGGCTCCCACCGCGGCGCGTTTCGTGCAAAGCTGCGCTTGACTTTCTCACCAGAGAAACAATTTTTGTCTGTGGCTGAACGCAGCTATTCTTTACTGTGTTTGAAACTCTTGAAGTGCTTATCTAATTCCTTTGTAGACGCTTGTAATTGTTGACTTTATTTTTTTTTCCCCTTTGGCTAAGTAGAGAAAAATTACTTGAACGGTGTCTTAATAAGTTTGACTGTTAAGAAATTGCCTTATTTTTCTTTAAGAGCTGTGGAGTTTGTTTGCTTGAGTTCCATATACGTACACATACACACACAGATAAATATACACATAAAATTTTAAAAAAGCTAACTGGTGGCAAGTAAGCTCTAGAAACAACTGATAAAGCTCTACTAACACAAATACTTTACTATCAAAATAACAATTTTTTTCTCTTTTAAAGAATACTTGTTTTGAGTGCTTGATATATCAAAACAGTTTCACCTGGGGGAATTGCTTATAAAAGTTCTTTTGGAGCCAGAAGAGTTGTGAGAACAAATTGCTGATGTAAGGCGATTATTTTTTTTCAGAGCAACGAGGAATGGATCAATTACTTTATAATTCTGACACCTAAAAAAATAGTGGTGCTACTACAGACTGAAGCAGAGGTGGATGTCTTTTAACCTTTTGGTGCATTTTCAAACAGTGAGACTTAACACTGTCTTTGGGGCCAACAAGAGACCCTAAAGGTTCCTTTTGTGTCAGGTGTTAGTGTTAAGAACAGAATATAGGCCATTTACTGAGGTCATACTTTCCTGGTGACTGTAAGTAAAAGTGGAGAAAAAACTTACTGTTTTTTTAAGACTCAGATTTGCACAACCTGAAACAAATGTATTAAACAGACTTTTGCAGGCCTTGTTGTGTGTAACATCAGCTGTCTGCTTCCCCTTCATCGTTAGTAGACAGCACCCCAAGTAGGAATGACTACAGTGAAAGCCAAATGATGTGGCAAATCTTTTACAGTCGTTTATTGCTCAAAAATGGATTTGCTTATTCGTCTGGACAGATGCTAGATAACATACATCATGGACAGGCTATTTTTTTTTTTTTACAACCGTGTGTGCTGTTCTTTTTTT